AAGACTGTATTTTGGTAAGTTACTCAGGAGGGATTTGCAATAGTTTTTTTTTTTTTTTTAATACATACCTTGTGAAAAAAGGGACTTTTCCCCCTCCTTTCCTTTATGGAATTCAAGGCCTTGCACATTTAGGCAGTTGCTCTACCACTGAGCTACATCTTTAGCCCCACAAAGGACTCTTGGAGAACATACCACATTGATGAGGGACTCAGAGAATGGGGTGGAGCCATACTTGAGCCTTTCTAGCTTGTTTCCTAACTGGATCCTCTTCTGAATATCAGGCCTCTGAGGACCATCTGAAGCAGCACTACATTGACCTGAAAGATCGACCCTTCTTCCCAGGGCTGGTGAAGTACATGAACTCAGGGCCAGTGGTAGCTATGGTGAGTGCTTGTTGGGGATGAGGGGAGACCAGGGAAATTGCTGTGCCTACTTGCTCTTTTTTTAGATATCCCACCCTAAATTCTTCCTTTTATACATGGGTCCTGCTGGAAATATTAACTAGGAGTTTGGGAGGAGAAGGGAAAGGGAATCAGATTTTAGGAAAAAAGTGATGCTTTATGGTAAATCCCCCTAGGGGTAGCCTCACTGCCAGCAAAAGGAGTGCTAGATTTCTTAGGTTCATCAAGCGTTTGTCACCATAATGTTTCCTAGACTTAAAAAAATACTTTCTAAAAATTTCTCATGAAAAATTTGAACTTATGTAATACATGAAGCAAAAGGTCTCTAATCCTATGCTACAGATGAAGCATTTTCTAGATGGCATTAATGTTCAATTGGGAATGAAGAGAAGTAGAGCGTGTAATAGGCACCAAAATTGAGAAAGAGCCTTTCTGGTTTCCCTAGCATGACCTTTGCCTCCTGCTCTTCCCTGGAATATTTTCCCTTTTATATCAACCTTTGCCATCTCTTGCTGTCTTCTGGGATGTTCACTGATCGTATTGTAGTTATCACTTTACCCCTTCTTCAACTATTTTTTTTCTGTATCTCTTTAAAGTTTAGACTCTATCTGGATCCTATATTTGGAATAAAATTTGTCATATAGGCCCCTGCTCTCTACTAGGGTTACCACTGATTGGTCTCATTGATGTGTGCTGTTAGGTAGGGGTGTTTGTCTGGAATGATCCTAAGTGCAACAATTCCTTTTCCCCCTGGTCAAGGTCTGGGAGGGGCTGAATGTGGTGAAGACAGGCCGGGTGATGCTTGGGGAGACGAATCCAGCAGATTCTAAACCAGGTACCATTCGAGGGGACTTCTGCATTCAAGTTGGCAGGTGAGTCCTGGAACTGTGTTGATAACTTTTACTTAACTCCTGGGATGGTATTGATGACTTTACTCACTTAAATGAAGTATAAAGCAAATGTTTTGGACATATTCTGTTTTTCAAAAAATCTGAACTTTAGCCGGGCGTGGTGGTGCACGCCTATAATCCCAGTGCCTCGGAGGCTGAGGCCAGGAAGATTGTGAGTTCAAAGCCAGCCTCAGCAATGAGGCACTAAGCAACTCTGTGAGACCCTGTCTCTAAATAAAAAATACAAAAATAGGGCTGGGGATTGGCTTGGTGGTTGAGTGCCCAAGTTCAATCCATGGTACCTCCTCCCCCTAAAAAAAGAAAAATGAATTTTAAATTAGGTGGTGATTTTTATTGGATAAAAACTTTCATGAATAGCTACTTCCCCATGTCACTTGAAATTTTAACCAAGACACTGCACAGGGGAGTTGCATATGGTAATTCCTTACATGGTTCTAGCCTCACCAAGTTCTGCATTCTGGGCATCCCATCCATGGGCATATCCCTTAACTCTGGTTCCCTTACCAATACAAAGTTTATACAAAAACCAAAGAGTTTTGAGATTCAAATGGAATGAAGGGATTGTTATTATTATTAAGAAGTATGCATTTCGTGATTGGGCTTTACAAATCAGTGATCCAAAAAAGTACAACAGCAATGGCCCTTGATAATAATTACATGTAGCTGGGCGTAGTGTTGCATGCCTGTAATTCCTGGGATTCCGGGAGGCTGAGGCAGGAGGATCACAAGTTCAAGGCCAGCCTTAAAAACTTAGGTCCTAAGCAACTTTCTGAGACCCTGTTTCAAGATAATAAAAAGGGTAAGGGCCAAGTACAGTGGTGCTTGCTTGTAATCCCAGCAATTCAGGAGGCTGAGGCAGGAGGATTACAAGTTTAAGGCCAGCCTCAGCAATTTAATAAGACTCTGTCACCTACCCCCCCCTCCAAAAAAAAAAAAAGCACATCTAGTTAAGGTTTGTTGTTGTGGTGTATGTTTGATTTTTTTTTTTTTTCTATATGCTTCAAAATTTGAGGAGGAATTGGAATAATTTTGTAGCATCAGCAAAAAAAAAAAAAAAGAAAAAGATTTTTTCATTTTTTCAGTGATGGGTATCAGATTCATGGCTTCATGCATGCTAGGCAGGCACTCTACCACTGTCTATATCCCCAGTCCTAGAAGTACTTTTCAAGGGGATGGGAATTTAGAAGCATAATATAGTTGAAACAATGAATCTTTTAAATTAAGCACCTTTACAGTCACTTTGTTGAGATGGGGTATTGGTGTTACCCAGGCTAGTCTTAAGACTCCTGGGCTTAAGCAGTCCTCTTGCCTCAGCTCCCAGAGTAGCACTTCCATAGTTTTTTTATACCAGAGTTTGAACCCAGGGGTGCTTAATCATTGAGCCACATCCTCAGCTCTTTGATAGGGTCTTACCAAGTTGCCTAGGGCCTTGCTAAGTTGTTGAGGCTGGCCTCCAACTTGAAATCCTCCTGCCTAACATCCTGAGTCTCTGAGATTACAGGCATGTGCTACCATGCCTGACCATCTTCATAGTTTTGTAGTTGGTTTCAGAAATATTTTGGGGTGTGTAACTTGCTGCTTCAAGTAGCAATTTGGCTGAAAAGTTCTGCAGTGGCTGTCATTGTACCCATTAAGTAGACTTTTGCACTTTAAAACATGGTAACTAGTAATTGTTTTCTTTTTTAGGAACATCATTCATGGCAGTGATTCTGTAAAAAGTGCTGAAAAAGAGATCAGCCTATGGTTTAAGCCTGAAGAACTGGTTGACTACAAGTCTTGTGCTCATGACTGGGTCTATGAATAGAAGTGGTCAAAGAAGGGGTCCCCTTCAGCAGTCTGAGGAGTCCCTGGACACAGCTGTTCATTCCACTGACTTGGAAGGGGTAGGGTAGATCATTCTTTTCTAAAGTGTATTTACCAATAAAGCCTTTGGAATTGGGTGCAGTGGACTGTGCTTATTTGATACTAAGCTGAAAGAAATGGCTTTGTTCTCCGGTTACTGTGGCAGTAGCCATTTATTACGGAAGAAATATCTAATCCTTCTCAGAACCTGGGAATACTCAACATATTCTAGGGCTGCAGAGGAAAAGTGTAGCATTGGTTGTTCAAGGAAACTAATAAAGAAATGAACATCCCTGATAGCATTAACAATAGAGAAATGTTTCTGTAAGAATTATTTGTGGAAATGATAAAACACGCAGACTAGTCAAGTGGTCTAGATTTACATGTTTGTTGTCTACAAATTAGGCAAGTTACTTCCGAAGTCTAAAGATTTTTAAAAAGGAATACCTATTACCAGTGCAATGCTGGATTAAATGAAATAGTGTATACAAATACAGTTAACTTCCATGTGTCTGGCCCATACCTGGTATACCTGCAACTCTATCAACTTCCTTTTTATTCTGGATGAAATACTTAAGATTGCTTCTTTCCTGGGCTAGAAGCAGGAATCCTACTTTTCAGATTAATTTGGCTGGATAGGCAGTTATAAAATGCATTTGTAGCACTCTCTTGATTTTTAAAGAGGTGGATTTATAGTTTTAAGAAAATGATAAAAATGAAATCACTTCTATGTAGGATTCTACACTGTGTTTTATGAAAATTACTACACTAAATAAAATGAATGACATTGTGAGGGAAGCAATACATTTTGGGGCTGAAGGTATCCCTGAGGTGGAGTGCTTGCTGGGGATTTAATCCCCAGCACCACACACAAAAAAAAGTTTGGTTTCTGCACATTCTTGGTACACAACTCCTAAGACCCTTGGATTTTCTTTTGCAATAAGGATCTTTTTGTATGCTGAGATGACTGTGGGGAGGGGTTAGTTTCCTGACCTCAAGGTGGGGATATACTGGTTCTTAGAACCAATTTGTGCCTATAGGGGTTGGAACTGTCATCCCACAACCTCTAGGAAGGGCAGGGGGGGACTAAAGGTTGAGTTGATAACCAATGGACCATGATGTAATCAACTATGCCTATATAATGAAACTCCCATAGCAAGCCAAAAGTACAGGTTTTGGGGAGTTTCCACATTCCTGAGTTGCCTGGAGGGTGGTGTGCCCATAGAAGACACATTCACCTTCCACATGAGTTGCCTTGTGCATCTTAACTGTATTCTTTATTAAAAAAAGGGTGATTAAGAAAAGTGCTTCCCTGAGTTCTGTGAGGCAGTTATGGAACTCTTGATTTATAAGCCAGCTGGTTAGAAGCACAAGTCACAACTCTAAAATGGGGGCGGGGAGCAGTCTTGTAGGATCTGACTCTCCAAGTAGACTGTCAGAGTTGATTTGAAATTTGAATTAGAAAGGATACTCAGCTCATGTCTTATGGAGAACTACTTAGTGTGGGCAAAGAAATGTATACCATCTGCTGTCAGAAGTGTTGACATGGGGCTTGGGGTGTGGCTTACTGGTACAGCACCTGCATAGTCTAGCATGTGCGAAACTCTTCAGTAAAAGCAACACACATAACACACCCCTCCTGTTAAGCATGGTAGTAACCCTGAAACAGTTTGGGTCCTGGGTCTAGCTATGGGTCCATGCTGGCCTCTGTTTCTCCTTGCCAGCTGGTAGGAAATTCCTCCTCCAGAAAGGAACAGGGGCCTCTTTAAGAGCTGCTTATAGAAGGCATTCAATATTTTGAATAAAGCATCCCCCTCAAACCACAACACAGTAAAGAGTGCTCAAATACAGCTTAACTTTAACATTTTATTTTGTGTAAAAAAGGGCAAATTTAGTGAATTATTTTAATCTTGTACACAAAGTTATAATTTTAATGCTTTTCACATCCATGCTGAAAATTTGCAATTTGGTAAAAATGAAAGGAACATAAATTTCTCTGAAGGAATTTTTCACGCCATTATATACACTTCATGAGAAAGTTTCAAACACTTTCTCAATGATCACAAGTTACCAGAAAATAAAAGATTAAATTTGTACAGATATTGATCTATATATCAAATACATACAGAAATGATGTAAAAACCTTATGCAGTTTACTTTGATCTCTGTCCTCAAAAGATTTGCCTAGGAACAGAGAGATGCTTTTCTTTTGTATAAATGACTGTGGCTTTATTTAAAATATGAAAATCAAAGGAAGAAACCCAGTTTAATCACAGTATTTTTAAAATCCCTTCCCAATATTAAAGGATCATTACCAAATATATAGCACCATAATACAAATATTGATGGGAGAGGGTATTCACATCACACAAAATTAATAATAATAAAAACAAACAAACACTGAAAACCCGTGTTAGTATCCGTAGAATAAGAAGTTGATAACAGCTTTAGCTTTCCTCATACACAGCAAGGAAAAGGTTAAAGAGTTTAAACTACCAAAAGTCCCCAAGTAATCCTAACAGGAAAACAAAAACAAAAACAAACCCAAGGTCAGCAGTACACTGTGAACCGTAAGAGAATGGGTCTACTGAGTTGTACAATCAAGAGTTATGGCTGAGACATATATCTCCTCTGCATTGACTTATTTTCTGTTCTCAGCAGCAGGAGTTAGAGTATGAGTAATGAGGAGGGCTTCAGGTTGTGTTTAGACCGTAGGAAGTCCTTACCAACCCTTAACTGTTGGTCACTGGATCAAGACAAAAAACACTTCATGAGTATGTAGGAAATCCTAAAACACTCAGAGCCTGGTTTTTGCTACAGAACTGGAAGCTTATAAAACCTGGCTACAGATGAGCATTCACAGAACAAATTACCAGGACTGGTTGGCTCCAAATCACACCCCTCTTGGTTTATTCAGTTCCCCAGAGGATCCCTACACCCAAGGTACACCACAGGCTTCTTGAGCCTACATCATGGAGCCACAGTCCTGTATTTAATCCACTGAGCCTGAGAATAAAGACTGCTGTACCCTTTGCCTTGGAACTCTTCTAGGCTTTAAGTTTACGGGAAGATTCTTCAAAGTTCAAGATTTGGGAAGTGTGAGGATGTCACATTTATGGTAGGTCCCTCTCAGCAATGTTGTTTAAGATATCCAGTAATTTACAGCTGAATTCACATATATTTGACACGAGAATCAACTTGCGTTGATGTGATCTGCATTTATGCCCCCAAAGAGTCAGTATTAAGAAATGGTGACATGCGATTCCATACATTCTTACATTATAAAGTAACACATTTTACTTCCAGTAGCTACTACAAAATCTTATGATATTAACCCCTCTTGCATAGAATGAGGTAAACCTGTGCGTATTACCAATGCTATTATTCCCAAAAGTAGAGCAATATTTTAGAAAATAAATTGCTGGTTTTAAACGTTCTATGCATTTTAAAATTCAAACAAAAATCTTACCTAAAATGGTCTCCTGGGACTTTCTAACATTTTTTAAAGCATTTCATAGGCTGAAGGACTGTAGAGGTTAATCATTTTGATTAATTTCTAATTAGCCCTGCCTATATTCCAGAGGAGATGGTCAGTATTATCACTCTGAAGAGGCCAGGCTAAGACCCAGAAGCACTTCTACAACAGATGCAATGAATTCCTGAGAGTTTAGTTTATGAACCTCACTGGTAAACGCTAGAGCTCTCTCATTCAGTCACAACTCGGTAGAAGGTAAGAAAACAGCAAACCTTTCACCAATTTACCCTTGTACCCTAATTTTAAAGGAAGCCATGTGAATTTTAAAATAGGGAATGTTCAAAATGGTCCAAATCACTTACTGTTATTACTGTTAAAATAAATTCTGACTACAAATAAAGATAATTCATACTAGATATAGGAATTGCATGAAAATTAAAATTCTCTTTCAAATTAGTTTTCTAACAAATCCAAGCTAGTTAAATGTGGAGCTGGAATGATTTTGAAATCTAAACCTATTTCGGCTTTGAACAACTTTTGATTGTTTTGGTAATATAGAACATCTGTTTTGGGGTGTGGTCATGCCAAGTTGCTATCTCACAGATGGAGGGAAATGGCAGAGAACTAATCAGAATCCCTTTTTGTGAGGTTTATTTTAGCAAGGAAAAGAAAATAAACTTAGGATAATATTGCATTTTCCCTAACCCCACAATATGTATTCCCTAACCCCGCAATATCGAGATCCTGTATATCTTGTCAACCATTCCAGTTTAAACACTTTAGTGTTAGGATAATTTGAATCATTTTTTACTTAAAAGAACACATAAATGTATCCAGAGTTCTTCCAGTTTCATATAGAACTCCAAATAAATTTTCACAGAATGAAAAACATTTCTGTACAAACATTAAAATGGGCTGCAATAAAATGCCATCAAGCAGAATTAATTACCCCTTCCGTGATCTACATGGTGATGAGCCCTCCATGAGGGGTTCAGTTGCATATTTCTGCAGCAAAGGAAGCTGGAGATGTGACTGGCTTAACTTCTAAAATCCAAAAATCTCCCAACAGGTACCAAAAAGGTTCATTTGTAATGACAGTTCATTTGCATTTACAACTATATCCTTCTTAAATCATTTCCTTCAATCCTGCTACCTAAACTTTAATCTTACCAAAAAAGTTAAGATTTTCAGTTCTTGTTAACAATGCACATAAATCCAAACTTGGAAAATATTACAAAATTCTTTCAAAAGCTTCAAATACAACACAAAAATTGTCCATCTTTTTATAAATTGAAAAATTTCCCCCCCCACCCAGCTAAAATAGTTTCCCTACCCACCTGAAAAATCTGGAACTGAAATTTTCTGTGTTTAGCAAAATGTCCCAGTAGAATAGCCCGCTGTACAGCTGGATTGATTATAAATCAGTTCTGTGTAAAATTTTTCCCCTCCCACCCTCAGTTTCTGAGCCACCTCATGGCTCTTGTTTGATGTAGAAGTTGGCAGAGCCATTGCTTTCCTGATCAGATGCTCCTTGGAGGAAGTTGTAATCCTCTCCATCTAGCAACTCCTCCTTCAGCTGCAACGTAGTCACTGCATATGAGAGAGAGAGAGAGAGAGAGAGAGAGAGAGAAGGAAAAATAGAGAAATGTACAGGATGTTATCAAGCTTCTGGAATATCCAGATTGCCTTTACTCTTCATGTTCCTTCAGCTTTATAGTTAATAAGACTTCTTCATCAATAAATCTAAGAAGTAAACACCAGAGGGCTGGGGATGTAGCTCAGTGGTAGAGGGCTTGCCTAGCATGGGTTTTGATTCCTGGCACTGGAAAAAATACAACATAACACAACAAAGCACAACAACCCTGAAAGTTTAAACATTTGATTAAAAAAATTATTATTTTAAAGTGCTGGGTACTAACCCAGGGCTTTGTATGTGCTAGGAAAGTGCTCTACCACTGAGATATACCTCTGGTCTGAATTTTAATTTTCACTGTATACTGGCAATTTAGGAATGTTCTAGAAAGGAATAATACTGCATAGTGGACACCTTTGATGGAATGCTCAAGGTAATAGTGCTCAGTAATCTAAAATAATTGTTTTTATGATAAAGTATTCACTTTTATGTCAATGTCTACAGAAACAATGGCATATTCCTTGCATACTTCTAAGGTAAAATACACAATGACTTTAATATGATCCTACTGCCCCTAAGGAGCACCTTTGATTTATTTTGTAGTGCTAGAAATTAAGTTCAGGGACTTTTGCACAGAAGGGAAGTGCTTTATACTATTGAGCTACACTCCTAGCCTAGGAGTACCTTATTAAAAAGACCCCCCTAAAGTAAAAACAGCATGAATCTCATAATAAACATGCAAATATTATGAATAATATGAAACAATATTTGTCATATAAATTACATTTATATAAATTTTAAAAATAAATCTTGTATTAAACTCCTGAATTTAAAGTAAAGGCATAGAAAACTTGGGTAATTCTTTTAGTTTAATGTCTACTGGGCTAGAGGCATAGCTCAAGGGTAGAGCACTTGCCTCACATACACAAAGGCCCTGAGTTCCAATCCCAATGCCACACACAAAAAAACTACTGACACTCGTAATGTGAAAATCACTGATGCAAAACTACTAACTTGTCCAATGGGATCATTTAATAGTAGTACTCATTGCCTGGCCAAGTTCTTATCTGATGACTCGATTTTTAATGAAAACAAATTCACAGTACAGGCAATACTCTATTTATGGATAGGTCGTTTGACAGGTCTTAATTTCTGGGGACTGTTTTCAGTTTCCAATATTTTATGACAGGAAAGAGGAATTTCATCTTTGCTGGTCCAAAGTTGATCTTAGGCCAAAATTTTAGGTCAGGTTTAACTCTTGAGACTTTCCTAACTCCTTTAATAAACTACTCTTAACTTGTTACTACCCCTCAACCTAACTACCCAGCACCATTAGACTGCCCACAGAACTCCCTTTCAAAAAGTTACTTTACTTTTCTAATGCAAATGATCCTAGCTAGATGTCAGACTAGTTTCATGAACTACCCAACCTCTCAGAGATGTGTTTAGTTTTCCTAAAAAGTTATTGTCCAGGAGCTGGGGATGTAGCTCAGTGGCAGAGCACTTGCCTAGCATGTAAAAAGTCCTGGGTTCAATTCACCGCGATACGTCTAACCCAAATTGAGCTGGTAAAGTTTCAAAAAAACACAAAATAAAGCGTTGTTTTTTTTTTTTTTTGGGCGGGCCCGGGGGGGGGCAGTATTGAGCATTGAACCCAGGGGCATTCTACCACAGAGCTACACCCCCAACTCTTTTTATTCTTTTTTTTTTTTTTTAATATTTTATTTACATTTTAGTTTTCAGCAGACACAACATCTTTGTATGTGGTGCTGAGGATCGAACCCAGGCCGCACCCATGCCAGAAGAGCACGCTACCGCTTGAGCCACATCCCCAGCCCCTCTTTTTATTCTTTCTGTGGAAACAGGGTCTTGTTAAGTTGCCTAGGCTGGACTTGAACTTGCAATCCTCCTGCTTCTGCGCCTTGAATCACTGGGATTACGAATGTGTACCACCATGCCCAGTGAAGTTACAAATAATTTGAAATACAGGTGAGGTGGTCTCTTAAATAATACAATCACTGGAATCTAGTCCCATGGTGAGTAATGCTAACCTTGCTCAACTTCTTCAGGGTACACAGATCTACTAAATTGGCAGCCACAAACTATCCCTATCCCCTTCCCCCTCTCACCTGAGCCTGGGGTCAAGCTAGACAAGTGTTCTATAAACACTTTAAAATCTGAGGATTTTGAAACCAGAGATTTCACATAAAGAATTGGCAACATTTAACATCCTTAAAGAGCTATATGACCAGTGCGGAGTGATGGGCTGCCACACCCTGTATCTGGGCAGCCTGAGAACCCCATCTATCACTAGGTTCCCAGGCTCATGCTGTTCACTTTACTCACTGAAGTAACTTTGAACCTCTGCAGGTGAGGTTATCTAGCTCCAAATCAAAGGAAAGACTTTTTTTTGGTTTGTGTCTATTAGGTATCTTTTCATTAACAATCTGGAATGAGAGGATGCAAATACAGTAGTCCCCCTTTATCTTTGGTTTCACTTTTTCCAGTTTCAATTTTCTGTGCTTAACTATAGTTTGAAAATACTGAATGGGAAATTCCTGTAATAAATAATTCTTGGGCTGGGGATGTGGCTCAAGCGGTAGCGTGCTCGCCTGGCATGCGTGAGGTCCGGGTTCGATCCTCAGCACCACATACAAAGAAAGATGTTGTGTCCGCCGAAAACTAAAAAATAAATATTAAAAAATTCTCTCTCTCTCTCTTTATAAAAAATAAATAAATAAATAAATAAATAAATAATTCTAAGTTCTACATTGTACCTTATTCTGAGTAGAGTGATGAAACCTTGTGCTGGTTGGGATGTGAATCTTCCCATCATCAGGTCTATCTGTGCCCTATATACTACCTGCCTGTTAGTCACTTAGGAGCTTTCCTATCTCCTTTAATAAAGCTATCTTCGTTACTGGATGGACTGTCATAGTATTGTAGTACATGTGTTCAAGTAACTGCTTACTTAACTCAAACAAGAGCAACAATGCTGGCAATTTTATTGTGGCACTTTGTTATGGTTTTTCTATTTTATTAGTAGTATTGTTGTTAATTTCTTATGTGCCTAATTTATACATTAAGCTTTATCACAGATATGTATATTAAGAAGAAACATAACATATATGTATAGAGTTTGGTACTACATGTGGTTTTAGGCATCCACTGGGGCGGGGGTGGTCTTAGAAAATACTCCACTTGAATAAAGGGGACTACTGAATATGGAATGTAAACTGAGAACTGCTCATACTGAAAATAAAAATGTAAATTTAAGAGAAGAATTAGGACTCAAGAGCATTAAGAGGGAGTAAGCATTTACATTTTTCATGTGACAGTAATGCTGTCACTAATGTCACTATGTAGAACAGTATTAAAATGTCTACAACTTTTTTTGTGTGTGTGTGTGGTGCTAAGGATGGAAACCAGGACCTTGGGCAGGTGCATATTAGGCATATCCTCTAACAGTGAGCTATACTTCCAACCGCCATATCCTGATTTTACTTACACAGAAGATTATTTAAAAAAATTAATGACCTCTGACATCTTATTTACTAATTTACAGGATAATCTTCTGAGCAACGACAACTTATTTTCTCATCTTACTTTAGTACCTGTGTTGGTACTGGTGGTTAAAAATTCAATAGGCCAAAGACAGAAAAGCGAATACACTGTGTATAATAACAGCAAAATTAACACCAATCGGACTATGGAAGGGTAAGCAAACAAAACTGTGCAGTTCTTTCCTTTCTTTAAAAAAAAAAACAAAACTACTTTTAATAAAATGCTATTATAGAGAACTGTATTAAATGTATAATACCTATCCTTCATCTCACATGCACTAAAGTGTTAGGGACATTTTAACAATACCACAAAGATAAACACATAGATAACAAAACCCAAGTTCATTAAAGGTGCAGTACCCACAATAAAAGGTTGATTAAAACGATATCTTGTTGTAGGATGATCAGATGGCTAAATGAATGGGAACTACCGTGCCTTAAGATCAAACATGTTCCATTCAAACAGATGTTTTATTTTTTTAATGTTAAGAAAGGTAAGCTGAGATTCTAAAGCACACCTGAAGCTACGTGCATTTGCTGCTAATAACAAATTTCTGGATTAGGCTTCTAGTCATGTTAAAATATGAAAATGATGTACTTAAAAAATCACTCAAGATACAGGTGAAACATTCACTCAGATGTGGAATGTTTTAATGAAAAGTTTCACGTAATCAAAAACAAAGCCTGTCTGGTATGCTCACACTAATCATTTTTCCTTCAGGCCTTATTCTCAATGAATGATGGATGAAATAGATCCTGTGGCCAGATGTCATCTTCTATACAAATGCTTTTTCTTAGCTCTCTTTTTAAAAGGAAGTCACTTTGTTGACACTAATCACTAACATTTCAGGAAATAAACCAAAAATGACATTTTCCCACTTACAAAGCCCATAAATAATAAATTCTCTCAACAGCTAACTAAATTGCAGTTTTCAGATAGTGAAGGTAACAAAGCTGTCCCTACAGTTTCACCAGAGTAAAATCACACCATGTCCCACAAGATGCACCCCCAAGTCAGAAGACACAACAGACACTAATGGAAGAAGGAAGTCACATAAGAAGCCACGTGCTGCTTTCTGTTTGGCAAGCCTACTCTAAATTCTTGGGTTTTGCCAATCTAAAAAATCAAATTCTGTTTTACATGAGTTGGGACCTCTCAACAAAATGACACATGCCTCTAAAATTAGTTTTGTCTCAAGAAAATACACCCCAAATCCCATAAAAATTCAAACATATTCAGAACTCAAAATGTCTACACTTAATTAGGTAAAAGAAGACTATTTCATAATTAGCAAGTATAAAATGAAAAAGTTAAACAAACAAGAAAAAAAACTATGACAGACTATGAAGGTTTTTCCATTAAAGAGCAAGTAACTTTGTAATTCTAATCTGTTTTTCATATAAAAGTATTGTAATTTTCTCTGGACATTGGGGTATCAGGGTGATCATCAGAAAAATACTCTAGGAAAGGGGAAAATCGACCTAACAGACCATGAGAGATGCAAAAGATAAACAAACAATATATTCTAAAATGGAAAAAAAAAAAAAAAAGGCTGATACCTTCAGGGGCAAAAATGTTAGTAAATAGAAGAAAGAGGAAAACAGGTAGGCACTAAGTCTTATCTAGGTTTCCAACACATAAAAGACATTTTAAAGAATACCGAGAACTTTGGCTTTGAAGCGGTATCATCTGGATTCATGCCTAAAGTTCATCATACGAAAGTGAAGCTCTCTGGCATCCTCTGAAACCACCTTTGTTCTTAGCAATTACAAATGACCAAAATAACCCCTTCTGCAGTCTACTAACTTATTACTCTGGCCTCACCAACTAAACTCAAGACAAATGCCACTTTCTTAATAAATCACTCATTATACATACATAAACATGAAATTATGGCAATAAATCTCAAATCCAATACCAAAATTACATAGATATCATATTTCCAAGTTTATGTTATCCAGTAATGTTTATGGTAAATGTTACTACCAAAAAGCACACTTACTCTAGAAGTCAAAACACAACCTTTCTATGAATGAGACCCTATGGAATGCACAAACAAAGCCTCACATTTGGATCTGATTGTTCCTTCATGACACATTTCTCCCCTAGGTCAAGTCACAAAGAAATCTGCCATTTTAATGAAACCATAAAGTATTACAATTGCCTCATAGCTCCATAAAGCTGAAATAACTTTACCATAATTTGAAGCTTACCAAGTATTTTATAACAACAACGAAAAAAACCTTTCCTGATGATTCATCTTTGTGATGTGACTACCAAGGATCAGTGAGAATGAATATTTTAGGTAAAAGAAAAAGAAAACTTTAATGAGGCAGCATCTGACACGTCAGACCATGCTTTGTCTCCCGCCACCCAGCCCAGCACTTTACCCTCTGCAGTACCTGTAGTGCTGAGTGACTCGTTACCTGTTTTGAGGCTGGGCCTGAACTCTCGGCTAGTGCTGGGAGGTGGGAAGGCCTCTGGGGCTGTCTGTGCTGGCAGGGCTCGGTATGGAGGAGGAGTCAACTCTTCGTCACCAGAGAAGCTCCTCCGCACCCCGCCTGTCATGGGCAGGCTCGACAAACTGACAGGCTTCTTCCCAACTGGCATCTTCCTCTCTAAACATCAAGTCAGACTGAAGTAAGCTTTGACTTACGTGCGTGGTACGAAAAGTGCAATGCATAACTAGGAAGGCTGGGTTGCACAGGACACTGCAAAGAGAACCTACTATGCTAGGGTTGTATTTCCTGCAACAATGGAGTGTCTGAGTTTGTGTGAGTGTTGGGAGTGGTGGTGGGAGATACCGTTTCTGCTCTGAGTGCTCTCTGACTGCCTCCTAACTCTCCAGTATATTTAAAAAATTACAAAGCAAAATGAACTATAGAGACCATTTAGTGTGGAGAACAGCTGGCTCATTTCTTTCAAGAAAATCTCAGCTTGAGGTAGGGTAAAAAAAACAATGGAAAAGAGTCTTTTTTTCCCCTTTCTCTGGCCATGCTGGGGACTGGGAGGACCTCAAAAACACTAGGCAGGTACTTTACACCAAGCTACACTCCCAGACTGAGAGAAGATTTTAAAAGCGATACTTTCAGGGTAGTATTTCACTGGCCAAATAAGCTCAAATGTTGGTTTTCAGGGAGAAAGCAAAGTAAAGTAGTTTTAACTGCATTATCCAGGAGGCAGGATTTTACTGATATAAAATGTGCTCCCCTAACAATAAATTCTTTTTTTTTTTTTTTTTTTTAATACTAGGGGTTAAGCCCAAGAGTGCTTTACTACTGAGCTTCAATCCCCAGTCCTTTTTGTTTTGTATTTTGAAATAGGGTCTTGCTAGTTGCTGAGGCTGGCCTTAACTTGGAAACCTCTTGTCTCAGCCTCTGAAGTTGCTGAGACTACTGGCATGTGCCAACATGCCTGGATAACAAGACATTCTTTTAGAAAACATTTCTAATTCTTATTTTGAAAAGCACTTCTAAAATTTAAAAGCTCATTGCCTGAAAGTTCTTAAGCTGCTTTCTTTTGAAACAAAATTTATCGCACCCTTTGGCTATAGTTTCATTAGCCTTGTAGTACTTACAATAGTGCTTTTACTAATCAAAAATATACTCTCAACTTTGCTAATACCAAATCACCAAGTATAATGCATTACTGAGGTTGACAGCTGAAGGATACTTACACAGCTTTGTGACTCTAAGTTATTTCTGTTCTTGTCCAAAGTCTACAATGACCCAGGTAAGAGCAATCAGAATTATGCTTCCCAAAATCAGAACTAAAAGATAAATCTAAGACAACATTCCTATGTAAAATGATATGGAAGCTAAAGTTCCAGTAAGTACACATTCAACTCTCAACCGCCAAACCAAAATCATGTACAACAACTACTTAGACTTTTTTCTAATAAATTATATAACTTATAGAGGTAAAATGGCAAGGAACAATCTCCAAATCCTACTACTCCCAGTAGCCCTGAAAATAGTGAAATTTAGTAGAAATTAGTGTTGCTTTTCCTGCTCCAGAATTACTACACCTTGAGAAAGAGGCTTTTGAGATTGAACAGTCTATAGATCCTCTTTGCAGAACTTATTTTCAAAAGAGCTAGTTAACAACTACACCTTTACAGCATGAATTCAGCTCATTATCCCCACAAGCTAGAATGATGAAGCCAATCAACCATGTCTCTGTAAAATGTAAACAGTACCAAAGAACATCCTAATAAAAGATTTTAAGTACCAAAAAGACCAAAGAGTTATAAGATGAAACAACAAAGCCAGAACATAATAACCAACCAGCAAACACAAGGTTTTATAGCCCACATAAAAGCCCATGTACTACTGACATAAAAGCCTGTTTTGCAAAGAATGACTTAGGTTTCTAAGCCCCAAGTTTGTTCTTATTTAGGTAAATGGTGTTGTGGGAAAATTTTCTAATAAATCGTTCTGTGTGTGTATAAAAAAGCAGCAGATAAAAACTGCTCCTTCTTAATACTACACTCTTTATCTTCAATTCCAACATTCAGAAATTTTATAATATTTTGACAACAAAACCATACTCATTTTGTGACCCACTTATAATTTTTACTTGATCCATTTAATGTAAATATTTATTTTTTGGTTCAGAAAATGTTCCAGAGTGTGCAATGGGTATTACAAAATTTATGCCACACACACCGTATTTCTAAAATCCAAAAAATTCTGAATGCCAAACCACATCAGTCCTAAGGATTTCTAATGAGGGTGCATGTGTGTTTGTGTTTTCTTTCTCTCTTTTTTTTTTTTTTTTGTGGTGCTGGGGATCCACCGCAGGGCATTACATTTGCTAGGCAAGAGCTCTATCTCTGAGCTACATCCCCAGCTCAGGTTTGTACTTCTTTTCCTTTCTATATCCAAAGAACAATTTAAAGGCATCAAAATGATGTCATAATATTGAGAGCTATAAAAAGTCACAGTTTATGAATATATTCCATCTATATAGCTAAATTCAATATTCCAGCTAATCCAGAAATCTAGTAAGGATAAATATCACCAGTACTGATATTATTACCTCATTAATTACATTCTTTCTTCTATGCCCCTAGCTCATTAATTTAAATAATCTAAATCCCACAGCCAGAACCAAACCCTGAAAGAATCATATTGAGGGAAGCGTTTGAAATGTGTACACAATAAGTCATAAATTAATAAATAGTATTCTTCATAAATCTTGGAGTAATAAAATTCATCTTCTTCATTTTTTTTTTTTTTTTTTGCAATATGGGAATGAACCCAGGGCCTTATGCACCTAGGCTAGCTCTACCAGTGAGTTATAGCCCAAGCCCTCTGCCTTTTTAAAATTCTTTTAAAAAATTTTATTCTGAAATAGGGTGTCACTAAGTTGCCCAGGTTGGCGCTGGGTTGCTGAGAATACAGGTATGCGCCATCATATGTAGCATAAAACCATTTTTAATTTGATATCTGGGAAAGAAAATACTGAAATCTCACAATTTTCTGACGTGTTTTCCAACAGAAAGTTATAAGACCTGTTAAACTGTCCTGTAAATTCCTCTTACAGAAAGCTAAGGGATTATATCTGCTAAAGTTAATCCACAGTTAAAAAAATTCTCATTGAATTCTTCCTAATTATATCCAGATGAATAGGAACTCCTTCTGATCTGCCTGGTTTGACAATATTCTCTGAAGTGCTTTTAGGGGAATATCAGACTTTCTAGGCAGCTGTTGGTAAAATAATTCTGAGTTTGTGGGTCCTGTAAAGGGGCAAGAGACAATCTTCTCTATGTGTAGGGTGAGACCGACTAGGGTTTTGTGTTGGGAAAAAAACATTTTTTTTTTTTTTTTTTTGGGAGATACTGGAGATTGAACCCAGGCATGCTCTACATCCCCAGCCCTTTTATTTTTTTGGTACTGGGGATTGAATTCAGGGGCAATCAACCACTGAGCCATATCCCCAGTCCTCTTTTATATTTTGTTTACAGACAGGGTTTCACTGAGTTGCTTGGGACCTCACCGTTGTTGAGGATAGCTTTGAACTTGCGATCCTCCTGTCTTAGCCTCTCAAGCCACTGGGATTACAGGTGTGCGCCACTGTGCCTCACTGGTTTAAATTTTTTTTTTTTTTTAAGTTGTAGATTGGGCACAGTACCTTTGTTTTATTTTTATTTGGTGCCAGGGATCAAACCTAGTGCCTCAAGCACTCTACTAACTGAGCTTCAACTTCAGCCCTTATTAAATTTTTTGAGACAGGGTCTTGCAAAGTTGCCAAGTTTGGCCTTGAATTTGTGATCTTCCTGCTTTAGTCTCCTTAGCTTCTAGGATTACAGGTGTCATTATTCCCAGCCTGAAATTTATTTTTCAAAGCACCATTACAGTGGCCAGTAGAAGTTTTTAAGTTCCTCCCTTAAAAATTATAAACAAATAAGTAATCAGAAAGATAAGAATAAAAATATATTTGAGTCTTTATGGTGCTATCAGCACTTATTTCAACATATGGCAAGTCAGTTGGAGACATTTTTTTTTAAGCCTTTTAAGTTTTAATCCTCCAGAACTTTTTGCTTAAAAAAATCTTTCATTAAGATACATAACCTTATCTTAGAATAAAATATTCTATGACATGCTTCATGAAGTTATAAAACCTATGGCTTTCTATGCTGGTGGTGAGGGTAATATATTTTTGGTACTAGTGATTAACCCAAAAGTGCTCTACCACTGAGCTACATCACCAGCCCTTTTCTAATTTTTAAATTTTTAGACAGGGTTTCAGTAAGTTCCCAGGATGACCTCAAACTTGCAATCCTCCTGCCTCAGCCTCCTGAGTAGCTGGGATTACAGGCCAAAAAAATATTTAAATTTAAAAGAATCGAATATCAGCATATTTTTATATTTCTGTGGCTATTAATGTCAATGATCATTCACTGTAAGGCAAAATATAGCACAAAAAGCACACTGAGAAAAACTGGTTTGGTAGCCATCAGCCTGGATTGATTGTTCTAAAAAGACAGCTATACTTTGTAAGAAGAACTTTTTTTCTGGAACCAGGGATCAAACCTAGGGTTTTGCAGATGCGAAGCAAGAGCTTTGCCACTGAGCTACATCCCAGCCCAGAAGGATGGGTTTATTAAGCTCTGAGTCTACTGTAAGCATCAAGTACCTGCTTTTTATTTATTTATTTTTTTAGCTTTTAAAATGAAAAGTTAAAAAAAATAAAAAAGTATTGACTTTTGGTAGGTTTTTAAATGATTTCAAGAAACATTTGTAGGTTTCTTTCTTTACCATGTAAATACTATGGCAGTAATTTCTCCTCTCAATTAAGTGTTTTTCATGATTGAAAAGGTTTGCCTTTTATGGTATACTGCACCTTTAAGCATAATACATAATGCAGATCATCAGTTCTCACAAGGATAGAATTTTCTGTGCAAGAATACTGTGACCCCAATTGGTTAACAATGAGAAAATGTATGTAAACACCACATGGTGACCCACTTTTCTTATGTCCTTTGTATTGCTGGGACTTAGCCTTTTTCTTCTGTTTTGATGAAGCTGATTGGCTTTCTCTTGATGCTGAAAAATAAAAAGGAAAATTGGTACCAGATAATTGCTTACCAATTTAGATAAACTGTCTTCATGAAGACCATTATGCTTATAAAAATACATGATGCTCTGAAATAAGGGTATACTTTTTCCTACAAAAGCAGGAGCCTCAATACCAAACAGATTCCACTATTTACTCAATAGTACTTATTATACACCAATACATTTTTTTTGCCTGTAATTTTAAACTTGTCAAAACTGCAAGACCAGTTTAATCTGGTGACTACTGTGTTTCTATAGTCACTATGTAGTTCATACTGCCATGGTACACATGGTCTGATTCTGTGATAGTGTTGTTGAGTCTTAATATCTTACCTGGCAACCAATCAGACATAGGTATATTCTTGTCCTGTGAGCTCACAAGATGATTTATGTGAGACAGTCCTCTGGAGAATTGCTGATTTTTACAAAAGGACACCTTTTCTGTATACCAACTTACACTGTGATGCTGGAGGCTGTAGTTGATATCCAGTTAACTGACACCACCCTACAGGATAGAGGTCAGGAGACTCACAGTCTACCCACTGATCATACTCTTCTTCCCATCCATCAAAATGTATCCTCAAGAGACGATGAATAATTCGAGTTACTGTGGCTACACATATTAAACGTGGCTCCATGAGATCTACTGCTTCTAATTTCATTCCTACACGAAATCCATGATTTGGAACATCCTGACACAGAGAAGCAAAATATTAACACTGTTTTATAGAAAGACACAAAAGTCTACTATGATTTAGAAAGCAAAAAAGAGAAGACATATAGCCAAACAACATAATTTAAAACAAAAATTCCCATTCTTTAATTATGCAAACATATTATGAAATTAAAGCATTCAAGAACTAGGTATGATATGTTCTCATTTGTATTTCATTCAGATTAAAAACTTTAGAAACAATCTTTTCTCTTAAGAAAATATTTGTATTACTTTATCATAAAATATTCATTCATTCATTCATTTTTGGGTTGGTCAGTCTGTCTGTCTATCCATTCATCCATCCATCTATCTATTGCTACCACAGATTGAACTCAGGGGCACTTGACCAATGAGCCACATCCCCAGCCCTATTTTGTATTTTATTTAGAGGCAGGGTCTCACTGAGTTGCTTAGTGCCTTGCTGTTGCTGAGGTTGGCTTTGAACTCATGATCTTACTGTCTCAGCCTTCTGAGCCACAGAGCATGGCCTAAATGCTTGTATTTATATTAGTCTTCATTAAGGTTATTCTAACACAGGCAAAGAAACATATGTGAGGTCATCATTATTATGCTTTCATTTAAACTTACCTTATTAAATAGTTTTACTGGTGCTGCAATGGAGCCAGTTTCCCTGAGGTAGTCAAACCATTTAAAAGGAAGTTTTGTGTAACCTAAAAGAAACAACTAGTTTTAAGTAGAAGTTCATTTAAAATTAGCATAAATATTATAATGCAGATAAAATAATTCAGCACATGCAATTTCAGATTTAGGCAATGTGAGAAGCTCCTAACTTGTGCTCTTATACTACAGAGTGCAATGGTTCCTTCATGTTACACCATCCTTCCTTTCCAGACACACAGGTGTGTCTGCCTACCCTAATGCAAAAGTGACTCTTCTCTGTTCTGTCTCAGACTTTTGAGGGTGTTTTTGGTTACACTGAAGACTGAACCTGGGGTTCAGCATGCTAGGCAAAAACTGTACAATTAAGCTATAGTCTATCCTCAGACTTTAGCTTTTTCAACCCCAGGCTTTTTTTAAAAAAAAAAAAACCTTTGTTTATTTATTTATTTTACCCAGTGCCTCACACATGCACTCTACCACTGAGCCACAACCCCAGCCCAGTCAATCCCAGGCTTTTGAACAGTCTAGCACTTAAAACTCTGGAGCGGTATTTTTCTCTTTTGAAAGAAAACTTGTTGAGCCAGCAGTAGTATTGTAAACCTTTGTTTTCACTTTCCCCCCATCGTAGTGAAAATCTCAAGGTCCAGATGTTGAAATTAATAGTGTGATTTATTAAAGCTAGCTAGAATATAATGCTTTTAAAGCATCTCAGAACTCTCGTGTGTGTGTGTTTGTGTGCGTTTATTTATTTATACACATACACACATACTGTATATATACCCACATACCAAGAAAATCTAGGGCTGTGTTAAATGTAAGCAGGTACCATGTAAGAAGAAATCAGGATTAAACTCCAGTTAACACTATATCAAGTACCTCTGGGTGGAGTAAGTTCAATCATGTTAATTTCACAGAAACCGACAGGGAAAATAGAAGGAGAGGTTGCATGGTAACAGAACCAATCAGATCCATCTGCTGCTTCTGAGCCATCGATCCCAATCATCAGGAATCCATCAGCCAGCACCTTTTAAATTAAGAGAATCCCAAGTACTTAAAATTAGACATCACTATTTTAAAAAATATAACCTTAAATTAAATGACATTCTAAAAGGAAAATCTACTGTATAAAGGTCTCTGAAGTAAAAAAAAATGCTTCTTTATTGAATTATATTAAATAATATGTTATAATGAAAAACCTATGTAAGCTGTAGGGTGCACTAGAAACAAAAGCACAACGATATAGAAGTGATATCAGAGGTCTGGGAAACAGTATCTTTACCAACCACAAGAGTTGCTGCTCTTTACAATTTAATCAGGTAGGACTGTCAGCCACTCTAGGTAGTATTGCCTTTACTTCTTTCCTGCTGATTTATCACACAAAGGAGTTTCTCCAAACCTTCTTCAGCTTTAAGTTCTAACTTGACCTCTTTCATCATGCTTCTCCACAACTCCAAGGGTGGCCCATGAAGGGGCTCTTCTTTATGCCTCATATTAACAAGAAGTCCAGTCTCCTCCCATTTTTTAACAAGACAAACTTTTTCTTTCTTTCTTTTTTTTTTTTAGAGAGGGAGAGAGAGAATTTTTTTTTTTTTAATATTTATTTTTTAGTTTTCGGCGGACACAACATCTTTGTATGTGGTGCTGAGGATCAAACCCGGGCCGCACGCATGCCAGGCAAGCGCGCTACCACTTGAGCCACATCCCCAGCCCGAAAACTTTTTCATCTTGCCCTGTTACCACTAGGACCTTGGTCCCAAAACATCATTTCTTATACTCTAATGTTTCCCAATTTCTATTACATTTAAAAAATATTTTATCTCTAGCAATAATTATAGGTTCAAACTTACAGAAAAGGCACAACAGCATAGACCATGAACTCAGAGGCCTAATTTGAGGTACAAGTCATGCAATTCCTTGCTGAATCATTTCTGTTGTTATTGGTTATTTACTCAATCCAGTGACCTTTTCCCCCAGCATGTATGCTCTTCCAATTGCAGCTTCATGGAAGTACCTGATAACTACTCTTAACTTCTTGAAACATTTTCTCATAGATTTTCATCACAATACGGTCTACTGGTCAATATTTCCATCTCTATAGCCCCTTTTTCATTTCTTTTGGTAGTTGCCCTTTCACTTCTAGCCCTTAAAATTAAGTTTCTGACTGAGGCTGTTTTCTTTGTTTTGAAAACTTAATATATACCCTGAATGATTTAATGGTCAGTTTCTTTCTATTCCAATGATTCATAGAGGTATTTGAGTTTGCCTCCCTTCCAGAGTCTTAGTCCTGCATTTTACCTGTATTCTAAAACTAAGGCATCAAGCCAACAGCTCCTTCTTTATTCCTTCAGAGGTAACTGGTCATCAGGTCCCACAATACCAACTCAAACATTTAGTCCTCCTTCTTCTTTTTTTTTTTTTGTATTGGGGATTGAATACAGGGGTGCTTAACCACTGAGGCACATCCCTAGCCCTTTTTATATTTTATTTATAGTCTCACTAAGTTGCTTAAGGCCTAAGTTCCTCAGACTGGCTGTGAGCTTGCAATTTTCCTGCCTCAGACTCCTGCTGGGATTACAGGTGTGCGCCACCATGCCTGGCTCGGTCTCTTCTTTATCCTTGCCCTTAACGGCTCTCTTCATCCACTATGAACATTTCCGCTGTTAAACAGAATGACCTGTGTTCAATCCAGAAAGCTTTACTAACTTTTTGTATCTACTAAGATGCCCAGATGGCCTGGCCAACCATTAAAGGCTACACTATTTTTAGTCTCTGTCCCCAGGTTCCTTTCTTCTAGATATTTCTATTAAAATTGGACACATACAACAATAACTTTCTCTTCAAGTTAATGGTTTCGCCTTCTGTCTCTGAAGAAAAGTATCCCACTCATCAGGATTCTCTTCTCCATCTTTCTAACCATAGCTGGCTAGATCAGGGGCTAGTAATGTATCACACAGGCAGTCAAGCCAATAGCTGGGTTCAGCCCTTCAGATTCTTTCAGTCATTAGAATTAACAGACACAGAGACTGTTGTCAAATCATGGTGGGAAGGAACTGAAAGGCTATTATATAAAATAGAGCTAGGGACTGCCAGTGCACATGGAGTGAGCAGGGAAACAGTAGAAACAGAGTGAAAGAAAAGTGGCATCAACTCAGAGTGGAGGAGAGATGGGACAGAAAGGCCCTGGAAGGAGGGGAGAATAATACTGGATCTGTGCTTTCCCAGTTCTCATACACTGTCCTTGTGTCTGTGTTTCTCTACTGTGACCTTAGAGTAACTTTCTCAGAGCTAACTTGAGTGGGTTTCTGTACCTCATCAACAAAAACCTTGACCTAAATATCCAATGCAACTTCCCTGATATTGCTGCATGTGAACACTTGCCATTTCCTACACATGGCCTATACTTTTACCTTAGGCTATTTTGTATTAAGCTTATTTTTGTACATCTTATTTTTGTTCCATATGACTGTAAACTTTCCAAGAGTTCAAATCACATCTAGCACGGAAGTATTAATTATTCTCCAAATGAAGCTTGATATTCTCTTCCCTGGTCATTTCACTTCCCTGGAATAGAGCATGATACAATGGCACTGCTTCCCAAACTTGCCGATTGTGAGACCACTTACAGAACTTCTTTTTTAAACAAATATAGATTTCGAGGCAATATTTCTTGCTATTCTGATTACACAGGTTTGCAGGAGATCATGGGAATCTGATCTCCCTTATCTGGCAGTTTTACCACTAGTCAGGTAGAACCAGTTTTAGAAGATGGGGCATCGAGCCAGTCTTGTGCAGCTTTGTGATGGTAATAAGAGGCACATGGGATATGGCAGACATCATAAGTGTTTGCCCAACTGTATTAAGATGTAAATCACAATTTACTACATTTTTACATAAGCAGATTCTGCATTAGTGTTTCTTAGAGCTGTATATGAGAATCACATGGGGTCTTTAAAAAATGACAACACAGAGGTCCCAATACAGACTAATTAATTTGGAATGGAGGGAAGGGGTTTGGCCAATTTATTTTTTTTTAAAGTTCTCCAGGAAATCTTGATGCTTACTGAAAATTGAGAACCCTTCTAGATATTTTCATAAGAACAGTCACATATGAAATGGAAAAGAGAAAAAAAGAAAAAGTATATCAAGAGGAAGAAAAATCATAAAAAGAAACACAGGAAAATTGAAGATAAATTTGCCCTTGTTATAATACTGTTTTGGATTAACTTTGACCAGGAAGTAACTTTGAAATACTCTTTCTCTAACTCAGGATATGCTTCTGCAAATAAAAACAGCAGACTCAAAATGACTATCATAATAAGCCACAAAGATCTGACAATAGAATTCAAATTCACTTTGGAATTCCTAATAAACCTTTCCAGTGAAGATCCAGACATGCACAATTTATGAAAATGCCAGGGTTTCCTTCTACTAGCATAAGCCCAGTTCCTTTATAATTGTATTTGTTTCAAAACCTATTCTCTTACCTTTCTAATGGTTGCGACACATATTGTAGAAAGATTTAATGGGTCTATAGCTTCCAATTTCATTCCTTCCTTGAACCATTCCCCACTCTGGTCTACTTCTTTTACCTAAAGAATTATATGAAAGCACATGCAATGTTATAGATGTTACTACCGATTTGAAAAGGTTTACCAGATTCTTTCTCCTTCCTACCTAATATTACAACTTAAATTTCCATTAGGGAATACAGAGTTCAGGCAAAAACAATTTAAGAATAAGTATAATAAAGATTTGTGATACTTATGGATTATAAAATCTTAATCCATTTAAATGAACATATGTAACTGTGATTTCCATAATTTTAGGAAAAAAACCCCACAACCCTCTTTTCAAATCTAATTTACAAATGAGGGTTCTTATAAAAACTTCTTACCTTAGCAAATAAATGTGGTGGTGTATCAAAATGTCCATCCTGTTTCTTTGTAATATCTACAAGGAAAAGTTACATACTAATCTGTCAGCATTTGTGAGAAGACCAAAAATCATGTTTCTTTGAAGGCTTCAAACTCACAAGGTATGTAATACTCTAAAACATGGCAGAAAGACATGCCTTCTACATTTATGGTGAATAATATTAAGTCTTTTCTCTCTTTAGGATATATGTCCATATGTTATTAAATACATTTCAGCTGATTAGAATGTTGGTAATCCCATAATTTGGGAATTACAACTTTAGAAACATGTTTTAATGTGTCTAGTATCACCAAGCCTAGGCACATTTAATCTTGACATTTTAATTAAAATTGAATGGGAAGGGAAAGACTATATGTCTATCAAATGGGCATGGCTAAGAGTGCATAATTAATATTATTATTTATGTTATCTTTTTATAGTGTTGGGGATTGCCCCAGAGCCTCACCCCAAGGCCTAATGCATGAAAAGTGCATTATTTTTTTAATTGAGAGTGAGAGGAAGGCATATAAAGGAATTAGTTAGGAGACTAATTTGAACCTTCACTAACTGAGGTAGAATAAGCAGCCCAAACAACTAGAATGGTATTTTTTAATCTATGCTATTCTTCAGAGAAAAATAACCAAGTAGCATAATTCAGCCTCAATGACACTCTCAATAAGAGTACTTGTTTCCGGTACTCACCTGATCTTTTGAAACGATGGCCTATGCTTCGAGACCAACCAATGTGATGGATTAAGGGGCTGTGCATATGGCACCAGAAGTCATCTGTTCTATCTTCACTCTCTTCATACACTAGTCTCAATCTTCCACCAATTACACTTTCCACTACCGCCACTCGTGTCCGACACAAATGCCTCTTGTCAACCACTTCTACTCTCATGCAAGGCTTAAAAGGATACTGCATACTCTCAGAAACCTTAAAATAACAGACAGAACTGTTCAGAATTCATGAAGAAGGTATATAAGTAATTTTAATAAGTAATATAAAAAATATTGAATATACTCGATATTTGACCCAGGTCACCCAGTTCATGAAATTAAAACAACTCTTCAAAAAATCTCAAAGTTATTCTCTCTTAAGAGCTCTTCAGTCTTTTTAAGATCCTGTTCTTACCTTTTGTGAGAAATCAGGAGGAAGTGTTTTGGCACCAGTAAGTCTTTTCACTAGAAAGGCTTTCCAGTTTGTATACTTATGTTGAATAGCTGAAACAAAACAAATAACCAGTTATACTTCAGCAGGAAGTACAACTGCTTCCTAAATTATTTGTTAAAAAAAGTAACATATTTCTCTGTCAGAGTATTAAGGTTCTCAAAGTAACAAAAATAGAGAAAACATGTTTTGTTAGTACAAAAGTTACTTTCATTGAAAAGTATTATCTTAATGTCTATATTACTTTAAGATTACTATGTGTGAGACAGCACCAAGGTAGATGTACTTACTTCTTGGAGGAACAAGAGGTTTTCCACTGGCTGCACACCAACCAACTGGATGGATATCAGAACCGCATATATTGCACCAGAAGTCCAGACCAGAGTCATTTTCAAATCCTTCATATCTTAAAAGGGCATTATAACCTGAGACCAAGAAATCAATCACTATATGAGGCAAATAAATAAGAAAACCTTGAAGTAAATGGCTGTCAAGCTTTAGTGTGCATCTGCAACAGAACCACATGCAAGATCTGTTAAGAGACAGAGGCTGGGTGGTTTGAGAATTTACATTTCTAATAAGTCCCTGCGTGATGTTGTTGCTACTTTGAGACCATTTGTTCAATGTGATTAATTCAGCTGTTTTTAGAGCATAGCTTCCTGCCTGGAATGCATTTCAATTTACTGATAATTTCTCAAAATTTAGGAAAAAATGTTGTGAGAATAAAAGAGAAAGTTTTGATAAATTAGTAAAACCTTGTCGAGTCACAGAAATCTAGCTGAAGTATATTTTAAAAAAATCACTTTATTAGCTGATCAGGTGGCCAACTGCTCTAAGATAATTCTCAATGTGGCTACTTCAAGAATCTTAAAATTCTGTCTTATTGGGAAATAAAATTTTAAAATGCTAGGTACAAAATTCAGTAAACATAAAAGTATGTAAAATCACTTAAAAATTATGTCCTAGGCAAATGATAAGCTTTATTTTCTGGAAAAAAATGTATATCGTGTTTATAATTTAGCAAACTTTAAGTTAACAGGTTAAGGCTTAATTTGAGGCCTCTACTGAAATAATGGTCAATGTATTTGTATTTCAGGATAGAAGCCAACTTCAGCTTGCATTTTCTTTTTATTTATTTATTTATTTATTTATTTATTTATTTATTTATTTAAGTTCTCGGCAGACACAACATCTTTGTTTGTATGTGGTGCTGAGGATCGAACCCGGGCCGCATGCATGCCAGGCGAGCGTGCTACCGCTTGAGCCACATCCCCAGCCCCAGCTTGCATTTTCTTATACTAATATATATGATAAAAATTTAAAGCATTATATTTTTAGTTCTAAAACTCACAGAACAATTCATGAACTTGCTAAATATTACTGAATTCTATGATTAATACAAGGCTTAATTCTACAAGATCAAAATGATTTAAAAGGAGACATGAAGCAATTAGATAAAACAGAAATGTAAAGTGAAAGATGGAAGCTAGAAATAATTCTTAGATATTAAATGCATTGTTTTTTTTTTTTTTTGGTACTAGGGATTAAACCCAGGGATGCTTAACCACTGAGCCATATCCCCACTTCTTTTTAATATTTAATATTTATAGACACAGGGTCTCAGTAAGTTGCTAGGGTCTTGCTAAGTTGCTGAGGCTGGCCTTGAATTCGCAATCCTCTTACCTTAGCCTCCCAAGCAACTGGGATTGCATGCATGTGTCACTGCACCTGTATAAATGCACTCATCTATTTAAAATGCAATGGACTTAAACATCTGGGACATAAACAATATGTTATTTTAAATTTTAATGCTTATAATATAAGCACTTAGAGGATGCTTATATAGTTATGTAAATACTTCAAGAAAAGGTAGGGATTGAACTGGGTGGTGATACAGCAAAGTACAGAGCTTTGGACAGTCACTTGCAATGGTGATCCAGGGCATATGACAAAAAACAATGATGCATTAAGGAGAGAGACTAGATTCATCAGAACAGATGGTTTATGATGGGAGCTATAAGTTTGATGAGTGGTGTATGATAAAACTCATCAATATTTGTAAATGGTGGGTGACCATTTCCATCCTTTAAGGATGAGGAAGCTATTAAAGATTCTCAAGCAGAAAAGTAGAATTAAAATTATATTTAGGGGCCCTGGGATGCAGCTCAGTAGTAGAGTGCTTGCCCAGCATGTGAAAGGCCCTGAGTTCAACCCCTACTACTGTAAAAAAAAATTTGTTTCTGGATACTATTACGCCTGCCTGAAATCCAGGTGGCTCAGGAAACTGAGGCAGGAGGGTTGCAAGTTGAAAGCCAGCCTCAGCAAAAGTGAGGCGCTGAGCAACTCAGTGAAACCCTGTCTCTAAATAAAATACAAAAAGGGGCTGGAGATGTGGCTCAGTGGTCAAGTCCCCTGAGTTCAATCCCCGGTACCCACCCCACACCCCGAATTTTTTTTTTGTTTTTTGTTTAAGGTAAATTAAAGTCTTACAGCAATATAATGTGGGGTAGTATGCAGAGTGTTCTGAGAAGAATGACTAGAAATGAGATTCAAAGAGGAGGATTACCCCCTCTCACAGTAAGTAAGGATAATTCTCCTTATCTGAGTGGTTGCCCTTCTCTAAAGTACTATAGTACACTACTTACTTTACCACAGTACCACTGATTGAGTACCTTGTTGCACAATGCCTGTATTTAACATTTGGCAGATATGAGCTTACTGAAAAAACAAACCTTATATTTTCACACATCAATTGTCCATACTGTCTAATGTACCAAGATCCCTAATATGAGCCATAAGGTACCAAGGGCCAGGCACAGTAGAGGCCATAGGATTGAAAAGTAAGGAAGAAGTGAAGTTGTACAACATTATCAATAGTGTTTACTTTTATCATTATGTACTGTATAACTTTTTTTTTTTTTTTTAGTTATCTCAACTTTTGTTAATTTTCAAAGTATTTCCCTACATAAGGGTTGGCAAACTATATTTTGGCCCATTTTCTGATGAACCCAGGGAACTCAACCTCTGAGCTATATCCCCACAGTCCTTTTTATTTTGAGACAGAGTCTCCCTAAGTTGTCTTGAACTTGTAATCTTTCTGCCTCAGCCTCTCAGTAACTGTGATTACAGGCATATGCCAACATGCCTGGATGATTTTTTTTTTTTTTTTAAATGGCCTGGTATCTAAGAGTAATTTCATAATTTTAAATGGTTGAAAAGAAAAGTAAAAGGAAAAGCAATATTTTAGTAAGATGTGATAATTCTATGAAATTCAAATTTCAGTGCCTATAATAACCAGAACACAGTCCATCTGTTCACGTACTGCTATGGGTGCTTGAATGTTATAATGGTAAAGAGGATTATATGGCCTACAAAACAGAAAATATTATTTGGCTTTTTATAGAAAAAAACTTGTCAATTCCTATTCTATGTCATATCATTTACCTGGCAATATTTGCAAAATTTATAAAAATACTTTAAAAAAAATTATGAGTGTCATTGGCATTTTCTAGTAAATGATCATGCATGCTTTCACCTGCTAATTTTATAATTCCAGCAATCCAGAAGACTTTGGTAGGTAGGCTGCAGTCTGTATTGGGAACTTCTACTCTCACATTTTCTGAGATATCACCCCAGCAGGTCCCCATAGGTGCCTGTCATATAAAAATTATTAAATTATCATCTTATTAACATAAGGCCTAAAACATATTATTCAAAAGAAAAGAAATTAAGCATTACCATCAATAATAGAAATATTAAACTAAAAATGTCTTTTTAATTCATTCAATTCCCTCTAAAAGGTAACTGTCATTCCCCCTTAACTGAAATTCTAATCAGAAGAGGTCAGGGTCAAGATTAAACTCAAGATAAAGACAGAATCTCTATATATTAGACAGATTCATGTTGACTTCAAAATTCAACAGTTTTAACACAAGACTTAAACAACAATTTTCCTAAAAGCTGAATACAACCTTGGTAGACTTCATGAGATAAAGATGATTTGAAAAACTTATTTTTAATGAATACACTTATCCTAATCCTTAATTTTAAAAGATATAGTCAAAGAGCAGAAATAAAAATAATTCAAATCAGCAATGAGGTTTCCAACAACATGAATAGGAGAAACAAAATTTAGCTGTCTGTATTTTCAACTTAAGTTTAAGTCATAGAACATAAATACATTCTTTTAAGACAGACAAGAGGGAAAAAGCATTGGAAAGTTATTTAAAAAGGTGGATGGAGTTGGAAGAGTTTTGGGAGATGAGTACTATTGAAAATCATTAATTATTTCAAACCTTGTCATGAAGGAATTACTATAAAGAGAAAACTTCCAATGTTAAAAATGATAATCACTAGCCTTCACGCCAAATGGTTAAGATGGGCACACAAAATGGACTGTGCATCACAAAGAGATTTTCCAAAATATAACACATTCCCATATTACCATTTCTATTACATTTTAATCCTTAAACCATAATGCAATTCATAATTATTTGGAGTTTATGCAATGGTAAATTAAATCAAGTAAGTAAACTTACACAAATATATATAAATGCAGATAATTCTGAATTGTTTCTGAGGCCCTAGATAATCAAGTCTTCATTAAATATAATTTAGAACTTTGGACATAAGTAAAAGGATTAGGTGAGGTTATAAAAGATAACATGAATAAACACGGAAAAAACAAAGTAACCTCAAAGTTCAAAGATAAAGAAACTAAGACATCCAAGAGTTTCAAGAACTAGCCAATTTGTACACTGGGAAAATGTCTTCCATAGAAGGTCCCTCATACTTTGGTGGTGGATGCTAACCCAACAAGAGGTTAGCCTAAAACAATATTTAACTCCTATCCTCTCAATTGTTTTATGAAATTTCTAAAGGACAGGAAGAGAATGTCAAATAACACTGAAGTAGGACAAGCCTAGAAACCAAAGACAGAATCAACTAATGGCTACCTCTTTGAGTTGCAAGCAATGAACATACCTCAGTAACTTGGAGACATACCCAATCTTGGCTATTTCTGATTCTGGGAGGGAAAACATACCTATCTCCCCATGTTGTGCCAAAAATATATTCATTATGACTACTACTTTCCTTTTTAAATTTAAAGATTGGGCCCTTAAGGTTCTGCCACCTCCCCCTACATCATTCTAGACTGTAGGGCTATCCCTATTGCCAGCAGTTATGATCAGAAAAGGAAAGGATGGAAGGAAGACAGGTAACAAAGACTAAGCTAATGTATATTAATACAAAGACCATGCAATTATTTCTATAAGGATGACTAATTAGAGCAGACAGATGCAGTAAAATGCAAGCATAAAATTGTATTCAATTGAACTAGATAGAGTATCTATTCCTCTTTGCTTGACTGCCAAATCTGTGAATTTGGTATATTTTCCATTGAGAAGAAAGAGGTATAGTTATACTGACAAGCTGGAGTTTTTAGGTGGGCATGTGGTGATAAATGAATTTGGTATAAAGGACTCCCTTTGGAGCTAGATATGATAATCTGTCATACTGACTTTTTTTTTTTTAAGTTTTAGCATTTGTTTCGAGAAAATAATTTTTAGTCACATTTTATTGAAGAAACCAAGTGTCAATAATGCTCATTTAAAAAACAAAAGATAACGTTCACTTTAGTGGGAGATCTTATTTTTTGGTTCCTACAGTCTGGATTGGTATAGGAGAAAGTAGCAGAAAGTGACATTTGTTCTTGCCTGTAATGTTGTGGTTCTGCTAGGCCCTCTTAAACCAATCCATATGGTTTACTCTAAGAAAAAAATGAAGAAACAAAAACATCAACAAGAAAGAGCACCACAGTCATAGTATAGTATGTGCTCAATGTGTTGAATAATGTGATTTCACAGATATATCTGCCCTTTTGTTTAAAATGAATATTCTCAAGTATGGAAGACTAAATGACCCAGGGCTTAACAGCCATCTTCATCCAAGTCATCTGTCTTCTCTTGCTGGCAGGAGGGATACCTCTGAAAGTCTGGATTGGCATAGCATGAACTAGCAGAACCATCATTTACAGGTAACAACAAATTTACCTTCCAGACTCAGGACGCGAGGTCCACCTCAGGCTCCTCCCAAACAAGGAAGATCTGCTCCACCACTTCCTGCTCCAGGGCCACTCGTGAGAGCTATCTGGGAGCGACTCTCCTTCCCTGCAAGGTAAGCTGTCATCAGGTCCTGTAGGACATGGCCAAATCCAAATGCTGAGGGATCCCCAATACAAATGTATGATAACCTCTGTCTGTTTGTAAGAAAATAATGGGGCTGGAAGTCTTACTTTCAGAACGTTAAGAACATTCTCAGATAGTCCAGATGGCCAGTATTCAGATTCTCAAAGGGCACACATGATGCTTAGGACAGAAATACAGATTTCCCTCCACAGAGCTGCCAACCTATAATGTTATTTTGATAACCACAATCTTTAATACATTAGCAGATACATAAGTGGGTAGAGGTTAGATCTGAAGTTGTTACACATAAGTAACCAAGAAAGACTCTATCCCCATGGTATGGCAAATGTACAAAAAGCCACCATTTACATACCTTAAGACTAACAAGCATAAAATTACTAAAGTCCATCTAGCAGAGAAGGATGATATATTATTTGGCCCCAAAAGAGGAGCAAACATTAAAGAAAGAAATAAGAATTCTACATACTACTTACTGAATTGGCAAGAAGTAGAAATAAGAAAAAAAATGATTGTTCCCACCTTCTCCAGAGAGTCCACTCACCTTTAGATACCATATCTATTTTTTGAAGTGGTGGTGGCAGAGAAATGGGGAGTTCAAGGAGACTACAAAAGGAAAATAAAACGCCTGGGGTAGAAGACGAAGGATGAGAAAATGCTATGCATGTATAAAGATATAGGAAGTGAAGATCACGAATTTGAAAGGCTTTAAACAGTCCATAATTAAAGAACAACAACAAACTATGTTAAAGCTAAATTGGTTAAGTACTAGGAGACTCCAAATGAGAATTAAAAACCACTTTAGGGAATAGACAACAATTAAAACAATACAAGCTTTACTTAGGCTTTTCTTTTTTGCCAATTTTTTTTTTTTTAATTAAGCTTTAAAATATAAGGCAGGCAATTTTCATTTTATGAGGGTTCATTAATTTCTGAGAATCTGTTTCATAATATGTAACTCAGATGGAACCTGAGTAGTGCCAGAAACTAATTTACTTCTATTAGAAAGTCTGCAGTCTAGAATGAGCACTGGAGATTCTTCTTTAGTTATAATGGAGATCAAGTCCTATTATTTTCAGTAAGAATTTTGTGATGTAGATCAAGGATAGGGTGGAAAATACTCCACAAAAAAACAAAAGATAACTTAACTTGAAAAAGATTACTCATATAAACATATAGCTGAGAAAAAGATCCTGCGTTTTAATACAAACTATTGCTACTATACATATATACAAACAAAAGGATGTTCATTTTTCTGTCCTTAAAATTTAAAAATTTAGATATGTATTACCAAGAAATACAGATAACTTTATTCCTTCAAAAAATGCTATTGTGCCAGGCGTAGTGGTGCATGCCTGTAATCCCAGCGGCTTGGGAGGCTAAGGTAGGAGGATCGTGAATTGAAAGCAAGTGAGGCACCTAGCAATAGGGCTGAGGATGTGGCTCAGAGGTCGAGTGCCCCTAAGTTCAATCCCCCCAATACTATTAGAAAGAAAAAATAGCTAACATTCTGGTTGGGTACAAAAAGAGAATTAGAATATGTCATGTAAGTAATACCAAGTATATCTGAGGAGGCAGAAAGAAAAGTATGAGAAAAGCTTTAAAAAGTTGTAGCATACATGTATACTGTTGATTGAACCCAGGGCCTTGCACAAGTTGGGCAAGCACTCTACCAATGAGCTATACCCTTAGCCTTTTATTTTGAAACACAGTGTTAAGTTGCCCAGCTGGCCTCTAACTTGATCCTCCTGCCTATGTCTCCTAAATAACTGGGATAACAGGAATGTGTCACAATGTTCACCTTACAAAGGACTTCTTTTTGGTATAAAACTATAACTATTTTCAAGGGAGAAATGTTTTAGCAATGACAGTATCAACAAGCCATGAGAGTACGTAGTTTGGGTACCAAATAGAAGGTACCTTAAGTCTGTAAATATATAACTGAAGAAATATGATTTCAGCTTTTGTATAGTTTCATGTACATTTGGTATTAGCACATCCTGGCCTGTGTTGTAATACCTAGGAAAGAAATCTTTTACTTGATTTTACAAGGTAAACAATGAGAAGAAATGCTATAGCTTTTATTTTTTAAATTTTTTTTGGGGGGGCAGATTTGAGTTCTTTTTTTTTTTTAAATTTTTATTTCATACATTTGATTCAAGTGGGTTATGAACTCCCATTTTTACCCTGTATATAGATTGCAGAATCACATCGGTTACACATCCATGTTTTTACATACTGCCATACTATTGTCTGTTGTATTCTGCTGCCTTTCCTATCCTCTACTATCCCCCTCCCCTCCCTTCCCCTCCCATCTTCTCTCTCTACCTCATCTACTGTAATTCATCTCTCCCCCTTGTTTTTTTTTCTCTTTCCCCTCACATATAATTTTGTATAACAATGAGGGTCTCCTTCCATTTCCATGCAATTTCCCTTCTCTCTCCTTTTCCCTCCCACCTCTCATCCCTGTTTAATGTTAATCTTCTACTCATGCTCTTCCTCCTTGTTCTGTTCTTAGTTGTTCTCCTTGTATCAAAGAAGACATTTGGCATTTGTTTTTTAGGGATTGGCTAGCTTCACTTAGCATAATCTGCTCTAATGCCATCCATTTCCCTGCAAATTCCATTATTTTGTCATTTTTTAGTGCAGAGTAATACTCCATTGTGTATAAATGCCACATTTTTTAATCCATTCATCTATTGAAGGGCATCTAGGTTGGTTCCACAGTCTAGCTATTGTGAATTGTGCTGCTATGAACATCGATGTAGCAGTATCTCTATAGTGTGCTCTTTTAAGGTCTTTAGGGAATAGTAGCTTTTAAAAAGTTAAAAAAAATTAAGTGATTTAAAGCAAAGTGTTCTGAATAAACATAAATCAACTAACTGATACCGGAGTTATCCAAATAACTTTGGATATCCAAATATCCAAAACAGTATCCAAATCTATAATAATTTTCCACAATTTATAGATATGGATACTGCTTTTGGGGACTTAACAAAAACCAACAACAACAAACAAGAAACCCCAGAGTTTAAATTATGAAAAGCTGGTCAAAGTCCAAAGTTGAAAATTACTATTCCGCTACTTAAAAAAGTAATAAGAATTTCTTCATTGAAAAAAGATGGAAGTTGGGGACAGTGGTGCATGCCTGCAATTGCAGTGACTTGGAAAGCTGAGTCAGGAGGATTGCATGTCAAGGTCAGACTCAGCAACTTAGCAAGGCCCTGTCTCAAACAAAACAAAACAACAAAAAAGCAAAAATTAAAATGGATTAGGTGAATCAGACGATTTTAAAGATGTCTCTCAATTTGTGATCACAAAATTTAGGATTATTTTAAAGTGGCTTAGTGGTTTCTAACCTCAGGGACTGCCAAGGAAGGGGTGGACCAAGGGGCTTTGGCAGTATTAGTCCTGCCAAACCAATCAGTGCAGTTTCCTTTTACCCTGGCTGTGTTCTGAGGTTTGAGTCAGATTTATTAGGTTCTGTGCTTTAAGAGTTAATGTTCTGATAGTTAAATATCTGAAAAACTACCACTTTGTTAAAATGATATATCAGAAATATGGAAACATAATATACAGATTTTGATGAAGTAGATATATTGAAAAATAATGGGTATCCAATTCCATTATAGATTATTTTAAAAGTCACTATTGTACTTTCATCAAGAGGCTATAGTTTTAGACATAGTTTGCCAAAACTTTGTTCCCAGAAGTTTAAGAGATATGTGATGGAAAGAATTCTATTCTTGAAGTACTAATTACAATAATATCTAAGTACAGAAAGAGAGGAAATATTTATGTGAGATCCTTATTCCAGAAGAGTCTGGGTTAAGTTAAAGAAGCCAGACACTTAAATGCCAATTCCTGTCTCTCCCCAACACACACACTTTTTTTTTTTTTTAAATTGTTGCATTATAGTTGTACACACTGATAGGATCTGTTGTTACATATTTGTACATGCATTCAATATACAATATAACAATATAATTTGACCAATATCACTCTCCAGCACTTCCCAATTCCTGTTTCAATTAGAACAGCTCTGTCTTCCACATTACACATTGGGTGCTTTTTTAAAAGTAAGTTTGAAAAGAATCCCCTAGGAGCAGGGAAAGACTCCTAACCTATACTAATATAGGTGAGATGGCAGACAGAGTCCACAAGAAGACGCCCTACTGATGAACCTACGTCAGTTAGAGCAAGTATCAAGAAGACTCTGATGGTACAAGGCAGGGTCTTCAGCTCCTGATAATAAGTTTCCTAAAGTCAAAGCCACCAACTCCCCTTAGAGACAAAACGATCTTGGGGGAGGACCATGAAAACTTAATTCTAAAAGACAAAAAAATTGAGTTTAACATGAGCTCTAACCTCTTAAAACAAATGGCTTCAAATGAAGATCCTTATTAAGATAATAAAGAAAACTCATACTACTAAGATATACTGAGGAATTATCAATATAAAGTTTTTCCTAACTGATAAAGGTAAGATTAAAGTTTACCCTCGATTACCATCTTCAATCCCACTCCCTTTACTCCTCTCAGCAGGAAACCACAATTCTCAGATTAGTATTTATCCTTGCAAAACTTTTTCAATGGACTCTATTTTCTAACCTGTAAAAATAGAATAGTAGTATATATCTGACAGGAAAAGAACAGAGGTGAGTTGTAAGGCAGATGATGCTTTTTTCTTTTTAGTTCATCAATGTCTTGGGCAGGGGGAGCTAAGACCTATTATAAACCATAGTTTTACATTAAATTCAACTGAAGAAGAAGATATCCGCCTATTTCCAGGGTTGTAATTACGTGCTCTATGATAAAACATTTTAATCTTAAAAAAAGCAAAGCAGAAAACAAAATTAATCAATTTCAAATAGAAGTTTTCTCACAAGAACTTTATATTTTTGGTGGTACTGGGGAATGAACCTAGGGTCTCATGCATGCTAGGCAGTGTTCTACCACTGAGCTACACTCCCAGCCCTTGTGAAATTATACTTTCAGAGAGGGTCTTGCTAAGCTGCTTAGACTGGCTTTGAACTTTGTGATCATCCTGCCTCAGCTTCCCAAGTAAATGGGATTAAAAGTATGTACCACCTAACCAGGCTCAGAAAAAAACCTTTAATATAGTATAACTGTTCAAAGATATGTACAGGAACTAAAGTGTGCTTTTGGGACGTTGAAATGCTATTTTTAAAAAATTCTGACTACTTATATAAAACCGGCTGACCTAGTTAATGCTATTAAAACATAAAAAGCAGATCTGAAGAGATGGAAGGCCTTTTAGAAGGAGAAAACAGACAAATGTTGCAGGAATCTGGGATGAACAGTTAATTCTGAGCTTCTCAGGACTAGAAAGCAATATTCCAAGACAAGAGAATTATGGATTTGCTACTTAGTTTTCTAAAGCTGTTGGTGCCTTGCATGTAATATACTTTACAATTGTGACACTATCATCAACATTACAGCAAAATAAATCACTTACTTGATGAGATATGTATATAAGAATCCACTTCAGGGGCTAGGACTATAGCTCAGTGGCAGAGCGCTTGCCTAGCATGTAGGAGGCACTGGGTTCAATCCTCAGCACCACATAAAAAGAAACATAAAATAAAGGCCTGCTGCCCATAGACAACTACCAAAAAATTAAAAAAAAAAAGGAAAAGAAAAAAGAAAGAAAGAAAGAAAAAAAAAGAATCCACTTCAGGTTGTTTTTAGAAAGGCAGCATGTCACTAATGGTTTAACATTTATACTTTCAACAATAGTAACAACCCCCAACCCTGGGGTAAATTAATGAACTGGGCTTTAATTTGTATTTCTACCTTTGAATTAATATGCTAAATTGTGATCAAAATTCTTTACTGGCCATGAAACAGTGGAAAATTCATTTGGATTATGATAACAGGAAACCAAACTCACTTTTGTTCACATGATGTTATTTAAAATTGGGCTATTTTTAAAATAAAGTCCTAAATCCACAAAATTTCATTATTTTGTAAATTCCCTTTCCTTTTTATACGTGTACAGAGAATCTTTGAATATTAATTAAACTTCTAGACAAGTTAAAATATTGGAGAGAATTCATCACAGATAAATCAAAAGTAAAAAAAGCTTGTCATTAGACATTTTTGACACTAATTTTGAAGTACTTCAGATGCTCTGAAAAGAACACCTTTAAAAAAAAAATAGTTTCAGTTGTAGATGGATGCAATACCTTTATTTTGTTTATTTAGGGTTTTTTTTAGTTTTTTTTTTTTCATGTGGTGCTAGGGATTGAACCCAGGGCCTCACATATGCTAGGTAAGTGCTCTACCACTGAGCCCCCAGCTCCAGCCCCTGAAAAGAACAACTTAAAAATTTTTTTTTTGTGTGTGTGTGTGTGGGTGCTGGGGATTGAACCCTGTGCATGTGATGCAAGCACTCTACCAACTGAGCTGTATCCCCAGCCCTTAAAGAGTTTTTGATGGTACATATCATTTATTTCAGCTCACAATGCCACATTACTAATATTGATTTTACATTTGGAAAACACTGGAAAAAAATATCCTTGAATTATTTAGTCAAATCACAAAGATGCAGGTAACATACATGATGGATGTTAGGTTGAGCCATGACATTATCAATATGCAACTATTTTTGATATACAAAGCCTGGTAAAATATATACATATATATGTTTCACTCAATAAGAAAATTGGATGAGACTAGTACTTTTCCCTATTTAAAAAGCATTTAAATTGCAAGTTTTTTTTGGCAGTGCTGAGGACTGAATCCAGGGCCTTGTACATGCTTGGTTGCACCCTACCACTGAGCCACACCTCTGGAGTGTGAATCCAGAGGCTCACATATTTTAGGAAAGCATTCTACCACTAGCTACACTCCCATCCCTCATACTGCAATTTCATTTCTTTTCTTTCTTTTTTTAAAAATTTCTTTCTTCTTGTAGATGGACACAATATCTTTATTTATTTATTTTTATGTGGTGCTGAGGATTGAACCCAGGGCCTCACACATGCTAGGCAAACACTCTACCACTGAGCTACAGCCCCTGCCCATACTGCAATTTCTTTATACAAGACTTTATTTATAAAAGTTACAGAAGTTATTTTTTAGCTGCTAGTAAGTATAATAGTTAATAAAAGAGAAGCATTTTAATTTTAAGGTATAAAACAAGCATCTTTTAAGGATAAGGCTTAGACACTACTGTAAGAAAGAATAAGCATTTAAAGAAAGAATAAGCATTTCAAAATAAGGTGAGAAATGTCATACTCACATGCTTAAAACAGGTAACTGGTGCTGCTATAAAGCTATTGCTATTGATGTAGTTACCCCAGCTGAAACCTTCCATGGAGACTGCTGAAATAAAATAAATGTAGATATATTATAATTCTCAAACCTTTTTTTAATAAAAAGCTGATACTGTTAAGGTGCAAATGAAAATAAAAAAAAAACTTTTTTTAGTTGTAAATGGACACAATACCTTTGTTTACTTATTTTTATGTGGTGCAAGGCAAGGGCTCTACCTCTGAGCTACAACCCCAGCTTGAAAATAAAATTTATTTATTGCCACTAAAGAAAGTTATTCTTTTTTCTGTTAAAGATTGAAGAATTTTGCTAAATTATGTGAGCTTTTAACTTGTACCATACAGGTCAAGTATCCCTTATCTGAAATACTTGGGATCAGAAGCATTTCAGATTTCAGTTTTCTGGATTTTGAAATATTTGCATAGATGTTACTGGTGCTCAAAATGTTTCGAATTTTATTTTGAATTTCAGATTTTCTGATCAGCTTCATATTCTGATCAGTTCATTTTCAAATGAACTATAGCTTCTTTTTTTTCTACATGCACTCTCCTATATTCATATGTGAATACATAACCAATGTAACTCCACATCATGTACAACCATAAAAATAGGGAGGTATACTTCATGTATGTATAATATGTCAAAATACATTCTACTGTCATGTACAACTGAAAACAACAAGATCAGAAAGTTTTCTATATGCAACACCTGCTCTGTGGAAAGTGAAGTACAAGCTTTCCAATTAGGAAAACAAGAACAGTTGAGAGAAAGTGTTCAGGTTAACAAACGCTGCTAGGGTTGCTTTTGTGTTTTCTTTTCTTTTCTTTTTTTTTTTTTTTGTGGTGGCAGGGATTGAACCCAGGGCTTTGTGCATGCAAGGCAAGCACTCTACCAACTGAGCTATATCCCCAGCTCTGCTTTTGGGTTTTTATGTGTGTTTCAGTATAATATTTACCCCGTATCTGCCACCTAATGCCTTTATTAGTTTTGTTGTTGTTGTTTGTTTGTTTGCTTCTTGAACCAAGTTCTCATTGCATTGATCTCTGTTTAGCTGCGATTTCGAGTGCTCATCACCACACTTGGCTTTAGCCAGGTTTTAAATTGTCTTGCATCTTATCTCCTTGCCTTTGTACCACCCTTAACAATCTTCTATTAGAAACAGTCCCTATTTACCTTCCTCTCCCTAATCCCTTTGAAGTCTGTATGTTTTATTTCTTTGCCCATTATTCTCCACGATGCTCCTTATAACCCACAGTAGAGACAATCAGATCATAAAAGATAAATAATTAATTAAATATAAAACTGAGATTGCCATAAGCACTAAGAACTTTTCTATGGAACAACTCCTTTTAGAATAATTTACTCAAATTAAATTCACCATCAGGAAGTCAAGAGTCATAATGTGCTAGCAGGGAAGAGAAACAGCTTAAATGGAATCCAAAATTAAAATATCATTACTAAAAGCTAGATGAATCTATATTAAATATTTCCCCTATTACATTCACCAATATTACCTGCTTTCGTCTTTGCTTGATTTTGCAAGGTAGCTTGATACTGAGCATAAGCAGCTAGTTTAGCAACTAAAGGTTGTTTCTGAAGAACTTTTGCTTTTTTTGTTGGAGGCTTACCCTGAAACAAGAAGAGTTAAGTAAATAGGATTCTTTTTCATCACCCCACCACCAAAATTTAACATGATTGCGTTCTATTCATTTTGCTTAAGTAAACATTGAGGGTTTAGAAAATTATTAAAGCAGAGGAAAGATACAAGGAATTTTAACATGAGGAATTTTTTCTGGAGTTCTGCTACAATGTAAATATCTAACATGGGTAGCAGACCTGGCATAGACTAAAACAGCAATATGCAAATTAATATGTTAATAAAAAATTATATCCCATAAAATGTTAAAGTATAGGCTGTGGATACTTGATTTCTTCTTACAGTAGAAAGAACCAGTGGTTATTCACTCATGCAGGCTGCCAAGCATTGCTATTTATATGGTAAGAGAAGATAATTTAATGTTCAAAGAGCAAGTGACTGAGGTTTATACCTTTAGTGCTAACGCAAAAGATCAATGACAAAATGATCATGGCCAAATTCACAGTGTGACAAACTGCCATCCATTTGGGTACAGACCACTGTTCAGGATCTTTAGGTACTGTCTATCTGAAATATAGAAATACATCTAAGTGATGTATTTCCTTAATTTGGGGGACTTAAATAACCCTTTCAGTGCTATGTAATGATCACAATAAGTAAAACAAACAAACAAAAATGTGACCATCCAATGAAAGATATTAAAAAATCATTTACAAAATGCTATATATGATACAATAGTAATAACTAAGTCAAATAGTCAAGATTCCCTCCGTTCAAAGAATAATTATCCTCCTTCCGTTCTATAAATGTTTTCAAAAACAAGCAAATGCTTGATCAAGGTAGCAATTGCATCATAATGCAAAGTACAATGCTGTGCTTGGCTAGCATGTGTGAGGCCCTAGGTTTGATGCCCAGCACCATACACACACACACACACACATATACACAAGCATTAAAAAAAAAAAAAAGGATGAAGGAAAATTAAAACCAGAGAGTAAAAATTGTACCCAGAAAGTAAATTGTTTCCCCTAACCTGTTAAAAGATTCTACTTTGGTATTAACTCAAAAGGAAACAAGAAGGGGAAAGAAAATGGCTCCATTTTTTATATGTACAAAGGTATTTCTTTTCACTTAGTGAAAAGGGTAAGTACTGTCAATTCACTTACACAAGCAATTTATAATTTGTTTTGGATAGCATGCCTTGTCCATTTAAAATAGATAATGTTATAAAACTATGGAGTTCACAAATTTCCTAAAATATGTGGGACACAAAATAACTGGCCACTTGGATAGAGGTAGAATGCAATGAAACACAATCAAATGACAGATAAATGGTGAAAGTCATAGAAATAACAGATATAAAGAATAAGAAGGTTTCTGTACCGTTACCTGAAGTCTGGCCAAAATGCTTGCCTTCTTGGAGTTTGACGAATAACTTCTTGAACAGGAAACACTGCAGAAACGTTTTGTTTTAGAGTAAAAGGCATCTCGCACACCAACCATCCCACACATCTCGCAGGTGGCTAATTAACAAAATGAAGATATTGGTTTTGATTTAATCGTACAATAAAAAATCAAATCTTATCTAACATTTTAATAATTACTCAACTATCTATTTTCATTTAAAAAAATTATCTTGAAAATTTCTTATATTTATACAAATTACAGAGACAAACAAAAAAAAAAAATGAGAAAAAAAAGTAGGGCTAGCCTTGGCAACTTAGTGAGATTCTATCTCAAAATATAAAAAGGCTGCATATGTGGCTCAGTGGTAGAGGACTAGGTATTTCACATATAACACATATTCCAAGTTTTTGAAAGAATATAAACAAAATATAAAAGAGGCACAAGACAACTGAGAATTACCATGAATTGCAGCTTAAGTTTTTAAAATAATACAAAGGTAACACTTGGAAAAATCCTAATGGCAAGTTGAGGATTATTTTCAAGTTATGTTCAGGGGACATGAAGGAAGTGATATTCAAGTTTTGAGATAGCTGCTCTATTATTAACCAGTAATGGTGGTAAATATTGTGACTTTTAAGAGCCGTTTCATTAACAGATAATAAATACGCTGAAAAGTAGAATTTAATCAACAAGTTCATAAGAACTGAAGTTTTAAACAGCTAAATAGGAAATAACATAGCAAATAACTGGGTTAATGTTTCCACCACCCAAACATGAAGGAACTTATAAGGTACTGATTATTTTGTAAACGGGAAATCTGTAAGTTACTCTACAAAGCTACTGAAATCATGAAAAAAAGATTAAGTGCCAGAAGATTAGAGATGAATATAGGGCGTCAAATGGTAGAAAAATCTAAATGATTTCTAATCATAAAAATTTTAGAATAGATTGTTATAAAGGCTCATGACCACCTAGATTAAAAAAAAAAAAAAAGTTATGATCCCCCAAGGACAACGAATCCTTGCCAAGAATGATATGTGTCAAACTAGAACTCCCTTGATTAGGACCCAAGCTTCATCATGACAGGAATCTTATTCTGTGCTGTTCATTTCTGCCTCCAGTAATTAAAGCAGATGCTAGCATATATGAAGTATTAATAATAACCTTTTCTTCTGCAATACGGTTACCAGACTGGCATGCTATAACCAAAGCATGGCAAGACTAGGTATCAATAGGCATTAATATATTTGATAAAATCTCTCACACAGCTCTGTCAACCATGATTGAGAAATAGCAGTTGGAGTAGAAAACACCTAGGCTTGCCTTTTTTTTTTTTAAATGTGGTGCTGGGGATTTAAGCCTGAGCCTTGCCTATGCTAGGTAAGTGCTCTACTGCTAAGCTACAATCCCAGCTCTCCCTAGGTAGGTTTCAACTGGTAGGATGACCACATCTAGTGAGTCTTGATAAAAGATGGGAATTTTTTGTCATGGTCTGGCAAGACCCTGTATCAGACCCTGAGATGTACAACTTTTTAATCAAAAGGCCAGAACAGGATTAACAGGGTAGAGTTATCAAATCTGGAAGATTGGATAACACAGTATTCAACATTAGATAACAATTTAATTCTGCTAAGACTTAAAAGTTATTAAGAAAAAGATTTCAAAGAGATTCAAAGTCCTATTCCTTTGGGTTAAGGTAATTAAAGCACAAGATCAACGCAAACTGATTTATGTGGTAAAGAATACAAACCAAACCAAAACCCAGTTATTTGTAATTCAGTATTATATTCATAAAAGGCAAAACAATGTTGGTTGTTTACATGGAAACAGTGCGCTGAAAATGGCAGTAAAAGGGGGATGGGGTTATAGTTCAGCGTCAGAGCGCTTGCCTCACACATGTGAGGCAGTGGTTCAATCCTCAGCACCACATAAAAATAAAGATATTGTGATCTTATTAAAAAAAAAAAAAAAGGCAGTAAAGGCTGAATTATCTTCTGCTCTAATCATAAAGGGGGACCAAACATTTGCTTGAGGTGTTTTCCAGGATGGGAGACTTTCAATAGTTAAAAACAGGACAGTCCCAGGCAAATCAGGAGGAGTAGCCACCCTTTTGCCACACAATCTGAAAATTCCCAGAGGAAAGTGACCCATATATTGAATTAAATCACTGTGATGCTACAAGAAATGGCTGAAACAACTGTGGCTACTTGATGTGTTCAGAGACAACCTAGATTAGAATTATTCTTTTTTTTTTTTTAATATTTATTTTTTAGTTTTTGGCAGACACAACATCTTTGTTTGTATGTGGTGCTGAGGATCGAACCCGGGCCGCACGCATGCCAGGCGAGCGCGCTACCGCTTGAGCCACATCCCCAGCCCCTAGATTAGAATTATTCTGTGTACTTTTTTTTAAAAATTTCATCATCTGGAGGATGGGAAAGGCAGCGGAGCACAACACACACTAGTATGGCAATATGTAAATCAATGGATGTGTAACTGATGTGATTCTGCAATCTGTGTATGGGGCGAAGGTGGGAGTTCATAACCCACTTGAATCAAAGTGTGGAATATGATATGTCAAGAAATTTGTAATGTTTTGAACAACCCACAATAAAAAATTAAAAATATAAAAAAAAATAAAATAAAATTTCATCATCTTCATAATACCAATCCTGAGCACACTACTATTTACTAATTTATTTATTTATTTTGGTGGCACTGTTGATTACATGCTCCTATTATATACCCAGTCCCTTGTGTAATTTATTTATTTTTTGGTACTGGGGATTGAACCCAGGACACTTTACCACTGAGTTACATCCTTGGCTCTTGTTACTTTGTGAAAGGGTCGCACCAAGTTGCTTAGCAACTTTCTACGGTGCCCAGGATGGTCTTGAATTTGTGATCCTTCTGCCTCAGCCTCAGAGTATCTGGGATTACAGGCGTGTACCACCATACTTGCCTTTTATGTAGCTTTATAAGCAACTTTAAAACCAAAAGACAAAAGTTAGAGCAGAATATTTTTAGTACAATATGAAGACTATTCTAGTAATTAGAGCTATTAAGAGAATGAAATTGCTTTCTGAGTCAGAGAGTACCTTATAATTGGAAATGTCAAAACAGAAGACTTAGGAGGAATTGTGAGAAAAAAGCTCTACCATGAACATCTCTTTCAAATCTGTACCTCTACGATCCTTCATATTTTCAGTTATGTAAGGATTTATTATCTACTGAATTTATGTCCACATTAAGTTTCTCAATAACCTTTTGCTTTTTATTTCATTCTACTTGCTTTCCACTAGGAGGAGGTAGGCAAAAACAGAGCTTGAACATATACTCAGTGTCCTATCTGGAACTATGATTCAGGTTCTGCCTCTTCATATAGTGCTTCAAAATTCTAAGGAAGGGAAATGATGGAAAAAATCAAATGAAAACACACCCTTGAACACAAAGTTGTACAACAGGTGAAAGCTATAAATACTCACCCATGCCAGATTTACCATCTGGGTATGTGTACACTTGTCCATTGTTTTTGATAATTGGAAGATTGGAAGGTAAAGGAGCAACTTCTTCTTCACTCTCCTCGGAGCTGGAGCTGCTACTTGTGTCCTCACTGCAGCTATCATAACCGTCGAACATCCCGAATGAGTCTCTTCTTTTTCTTTTGGATTGTGAAGAATGTTCTGTCTTAAAGTACAAGAAACCAGTAACACATGATAGAGTACTCAAACATATCCTCTGAAAGACCTCAGCACACATTTTGGTAAATGATATTTGATGAAATCTGGCACTGAAAAACGATAATTTTATTTTATAATGAAAAGCTTAATATTTGTGTCAAAAAGGAGTCCTCCACTTATGAGACATAAATCTATCATTATTACATTACTAATAATATTAATAATTACAATGATGAACAGTGAATGTGAATCAGAAGACTATCATGTAACTCAAGTTTTATCTTAAACTAGGCATGTTACTTTTCTATATAAAGATTGGATGATTTCTTAAAAAAAAAAAAAAAAACTGTAGTGAACCACATAAATAGATTTCTTAATTTGCCTTTCATCTCTAAAATTGTAAATTTCTTTACCAATTTACAGCATCCAGAAAATAGATATTTAAAAAAAATCACTGCTAATAATTATAAAAGGACTAATGGAAAATTTTAAATTTCAGAGATAATTTTAAGGTATTAACTATTTCAAACATTATTGAAGATAACATTTCTACCTATATAAAACTCTATTTAATTTTTTAAAACATAAAACAATAGCAAAAGCCCAACCCAATGATCTCAAACTAAACATTATTTTTTCTTCAAATAGCACAAAGACACTTTATCATCTTCAATGAACGCAGCCATGTCTTTCCCAAAAGATGTTCCCTCACTCAAGCCATGAAAAAGAAAAACCCAAATACTGCTATTCCAACACCCTGATACAAATTCCACAACTTCAAGTCTGGTAAGAAGAAAGTCAAAATAAAATAGAAAACAACGAAGAGGAAAAAAAGGATGCAGAGAGCTATTAATTCGACAGGGAAAACTACTAACTGAAGAATCTTTAGGAATTGGCATCTAATTTTATTCTTTTGCTTCAGTTAATGTGTGTTTGTGTGTATCTCATCTTAAACTTTCTTTACAATTTCTTTTCTGGGTAGTCTAACTTCCTTCTGGTATTCCATGGCCAATAACAAAGCTAAAATCTATTGTTCACATGTATTGGGATGGGAAGCTGATTCATTCATATTAGGTGTTAACCATGAAAGCACAAACACAGTGGAAATATTATATCCCCAAAGAATACTGACATTTAAGAACTACCTCTGGGAAGGCTCTTTACATGTCCCCATAATGTTCCACAACCACCAACCCATAGTACTCTTCTTTTAGACTGAATTTTAAACAGAAAAATATTTAAAATTACTCTTTTCCTAATTTTTCTTAGCATGATCATCCATGTTATTCAGCAGATTTGGTTCTGAACAACTTGTAGGTATTTTTATGAATTAAATGCATTATCAAAAAAAATCAGTTTTGCTACCATTAGAGTTTAAAAGAATAAATCAGGCTGTAAAGGATGGGAAAATCCTCATTTAGATGTAGTGTGGTACAAAGAACACAGAATTCTGACACACCTGCTATTTATTGCGTGAGAACTTGAGCAAGTTGTGAGTTTTTTCTCATATTCTCTAAAGATTCATCAACTATTTATCAAACGTGTGTCTCACAGTAACTGAAGGTTAAGAGAATGGTGTACAGAGAAGATCCAGGGTTCTTATAAAGGTTGTAGTATTTGCGGGATATACTAAACAAGCAAGAAGGGGGGTCATAGGGACTGTCAGCTGAGATTCAGTGGCAACAAACAGTCTCAGTGAGGTAAGACTCCAAGAACAACAAAACAAAACAGCAACCTTTTGAATATATGCTGCTCCATATACTAGGCAAATAAAAGATCTTTCAGTCTGGCATACTAAAAAGGCTAACATCGGTTGAGGCTGGGGCTCGGGTTCAGTGGCAGAGCACTTGCCTTGCACATCTAAGGCACTGGGTTTGGTCCTCAGCACCACTCAAAAATAAACACATAAAATAAAGGCATGCTGTTCATTCAAAACCACACACACACACACAAAAGACCAATATGGCTAATGCCTAATGAACAGTGTAGGAGATGAGATCAAAGGTGGGATGTACTGCCCAGGTCATGTGATCATTGTAGGCCAGTTTAGGTAAGCAATATTTTTCTTTGGGCAATGGGAAGACATTATGAACTATTTGCTACAGTGTCTGGTATGCACACTTCATATACATGTGTTAGACTCTTCTAATAAATTCATACAAGCCCACCTCCATGAGGAGGTGACCTTTTACACTCCCAAGTGGCCTTTTAAACTCACTAGTTTTCATAGAAGCTTGTCTACTATACAGCCAAATCAGCAGCTACTGCATGTTTATTGCAATGTCAATCCAGAATATCTTCTAATTCTTGAGTTGAAATTTTAGGAGATCAATGATTACAAACATTTTGAGCTTCAATAATTATAGGCTGTGGGCTGGGGATGTGGCTCAAGCGGTAGCGCGCTTGCCTGGCATGCGTGCGGCCCGGGTTCGATCCTCAGCACCACATACAAACAAAGATGTTGTGTCTGCCGATAACTAAAAAAATAAATATTAAAATTCTCTCTCTCTCTCTTTAAAAAAAAAATAATTATAGGCTGTTATCATTTTTTAAAAGTACCACAGTTGAAGGTGAGATGTGATGTTGCATCCTGTAATCCCAGCAGCTTGGGAGGCCGAGGCAGGAGGATACTGAGTTTATAACCAGCGCCAGCAACTTAGTTGAGGCCTTAAGCAATTTAGCAAGACCATGTCTCAAAATAAAAAATAAAAAGGGTTGGGATGTGGCTCAGTGGTTAAGTGCTCCCAGGTTCAATCCTGTACATCCCCCTCTCCAAAATACTACAGTCAAATATATTTAGAAAATTTTCCTTACTTCAAAGTCTTCTGGAGTCTTGAATGCTTATGAACATTATGATTATCAAAGAGGGATAGGTAGTATGTAGTCTTTTCCAAATTATCTTGAAGGACTAATATTCTAGTTCTCTGACCTTTTCAGCACACATGGAGAAGATCATCTATATAATGCATGGGGATATACCCAGACTGAAACTTTTGGTTGCCCTAAGTATTGTAGGGAGGAGTATCTTCTTGTTTTGCATTACTGGGGATTGAGCCCTGGGCCTTGTGCAGGCTGGGCAAGTGCTCTACCACCGAGCTACATCCTCTAACCCAGGGATGAACATCTTGAAATACTCACAATCCATGCCAAACTCTTTGGGAAGCTGTTTTCTATTTAGGGAGTGCTGTTCTCTAAATGTTTTTCTTACATTAAGATAGACATATAATGGGGCTGGGGACGTGGCTCAAGCGGTAGCGCGCACGCCTGGCATGCGTGCAGCCCGGGTTCGATCCTCGGCACCACATACAAACAAAGATGTTGTGTCCGCCGAACACTAAAATAAATAAATAAATAAAAAAAAAAAAAAAAAAAAAAAGATAGACATATAAACTATAATTGGTTTTCCCTGTGCAAAACTTATCATTATTTACTATGGAGGAACTTAAATGTCTAAAACCCCTGACGGAGGTTACAACTTCAGTGAAAGAGTAGGTGGGGAAAAAACAAGACTACATGGAAAGAGGACTTACAAAAGAGTCTTTTCTGTGCATGCTCTTGATGGAAAGCTTCTCTGGGATTTTGTAATCACAGGTCTGCCCTCATGAGTAAGTCCAAAGTTGTAATTTACTCTCCCCACTATGGTGAAGAAATCCTCAGGGGAAGAAATTAAAGTGGGTGCAGGCTACTACTGTGCTTTGACATCAAGCAGAAGAATCCTAAATCATATCAGGTAACAGTGACCTACAGTTCAGACCTTTCAGCATTCCCACCATACATGAATGCACAAATATAAACACAATAATCCACCATGAGGAAGCATCAGCAAAAATAGATTAAGAATAACAAATACTTCAAGCATTTAAACTGCCAGAAATGGAATAAAAATAATCATACATATTCTGTTTAAGAAATAAAAATAATTGAAAAATGAGCAAAGTAATTTAAAAAATTCAATAGATTAGGCATAGCTAAATAGAGAAATGAAGGATAAATGTTAAGAAAACAATAAAACACAGGAAAATGGAAAATAAGAGGTTAGAATATAAATATCTAATAAATGTCTAATAATAATTCCTTATGCTCTTAAAATTTTTTAATTTGTTTTAATCAATACATGTATAACACAAAATTGTACATATTAATCAGGTACTATATGGTATTTCAATACATGTACACACTGCTATCAGATTAAACATACCTCCTCGAACATTGATCATTTCTTTAAGGCAAAAACATTCAAAATCCTTTTTTCTAGGCGAATGTGTGGCACATACCTGTAATCCCAGCCACCCAGGAGGAAGATCACAAGTTCAAGGTTAGCTTTGGCAATTTAGCCAGATCTTCTTTCAAAACAAAAAAACATAAAGGGCTGGGATACAGCTTGGGGATAGAGTCCTCCTGGGGTTTATTCCTAGTACTTAAAAACAAAAAACAAACAAACAAAAAACAACTTTCCTGGGTTTTTGAAATACACAGAACATAATCACTAGATACAGTTTACATTTGACTGTACTGTAATACCACTGATTAACCCTCCCCACTTTAAGAGTAAGAATTCTTACAGCACAGAGAAAGATAATGTTGAATGAGATACTGGCTGAGAATTCTGCAGAAATTAGAACAGGAATTCATGGATAGATCTATAAAGCATATTAAACATAACAAAAAGATACCTATAACAAAACCAAGCATAGCAAAACTAAACACCACCAGAGAGAAGACTTAAAAATCAACCAGTCAGAGGTAGGGATATATACCTCAGTTGGTAGAGTGCTTGCCTTTCATGCACAAAGCCCTGGGTTCAATCCGTAGCACGGGGGAGGGGGGGTGGAAACTTGGTAGTCAACTAGCACAACTCAGGCACACCCAGTCTAATCAGCTACTTTCTACTAAGCACTCAGAGTGATCAACCAGGTAAGGACCACTGATCATTTAACAAAGGCCTCTCTAAGAGTGTGAATTAAGGACCAAAACAAATCAATAGAAAACAGAAGTAATGTATGGACC